CCCAACTACATATCAAGTTTCACATTGTAGATTACACTGTATATCAAGTTTCACATTACAGACTCAACTACATATCAAGTTTCACATTGTAGATTAAACTGTATATCAAGTTTAACATTACAGAGCCAACTACGTATCAAGTTTCACATTGTAGATTAAACTGTGTATCAAGTTTAACATTACAGACCCAACTACGTATCAGGTTTCACATTGTAGATTACACTGTGTATCAAGTTTAACATTACAGACCCAACTACGTATCAGGTTTCACATTGTAGATTAAACTGTATGTCAAGTTTAACATTACAGACCCAACCACATATCAGTTGCACATTGTAGATTAAACTGCATATCCAGTTTCACATATCAAGTTTATAAAAGATATTAGCATATGTTAATAATGTTATATGTGTATCATGTTAGTAGCTAAATTATATCATTGCAATGCCAGAGAAAATGTGAAAATACTGAAGAATAGTAGTCCCAATTCACTGGAATTGTAATTACCTCTGAAGTGAAAAATGGCTGCCGCATTTCTGTAGAGAATGATTAAGAGAGATGTTTTATCGAACGTCCAAGCAATTCCAAGTTTCCTTCGATATTCTTGCCCGAAGAATGCAATGTCCCCGCAATTATCGATAACAAGAGAAGTCTCATGAGCCAGAGGCTGACGAGCATTTACGGCTTCGAATGAAACAGGTCTCCACACGGCACACTTCACGTCAGCAACAAGAACCACTTGCCGTAGTGGAACATCCGGTTAACAAGGTCCTTTGGAAAATTTCACGGAACTGGAAATCCATTAAAATTGAAGGGGATGAAACTGAACCGCTCGTGAAATGGGAATCGAACGGGTGAAAGATACGGACTGGCGAACCGGAAAACTGGATCGAATCGAGTACCGGAAGAACTATCAAATATTCTTCGGTACTTAACGCGTTTCATTATACGATCACTACGTGTCTAATAACGGATCGCTGGATGTAGAGTCTAGATTTCGCATAAAACTTTCTATATATAGCGTGGAACATCAATTTAAAGAGGTCTAAAGAAAATATTTACGCTTCATTCAAATTCTTTAGACAAAATGGTAGTTGCGCGGAGTACGCGACTGTTGAATATCAAATGGCTGATTTCTAAAGATAAAGTCGCGTGGAAATTCATGACAAGTATTGCGAAAGCATTGATACGAAGGTTGAGAAAGAAAATTACTGTGCACATATTTTTAATAGGAAATGCGAGGTTATTGTTTGACATAACAATAGAATAATTTTTACAAAATATCAGTACAGAGTAGAAAATAACCTATGAAGGTTTTATTAAATTTTATTGTGTGAAATGGTTGGTTTATACAGGGTGTTTCACAACTAGTGTAGGTTCATAGAGCAGCTGATTCTGAATAAAATTTCCCTTTGCAGAAATGGGATTTGAAGCACCGTTTTTGAGTTATTAAGGAAAAACACCGAACCAATCAGAGCGCAATGCGCGCGCAGACGCGAGACCGCCCAGCGGCTGAGCGCGCGCAATCCACGCGCTCTGATTGGTCCGGTGTTTTTCCTTAATAATTTAAAAACGGTGCTCCCAATCCCATTTCGGCAAAGGGAAATTTTATTCAGAATCAGCTGCTCTATGAACCTACACTAGTTGTAAGACACTCTATAAACTTCATTTAAACGTATATAATTCTTGTTATACAGTTATTTAGGAGAATAACACCTTTCCAAAAGTTAGTCAGTTTCTAACCGAAAGATTCCTGATTTAATAAACGAGATTTTCCACTTATAATCGCTTAGGATTCAATGACTCCGTTTTACGTATGCTCCGTGCATAAAATTATCGGAAGTTCAGACGCGAACTTTCAGAGTAATTTAAAGTTGCAACTGTTCTTAATGCACCGTATTATCATTCGAAACTTCTGATTCTGAAGTTTCTCCGTTATAAATCAAAGAAGAAGGAAAAGCAGTGGAAGGGTGGACAAATTTATTTATCAAATTTCCAAGTTTTTTGAAAACTTGACAATCCCTACTTTTTTAAATTAAAAAAATATGGTCAGTCGTTCAACGATCGACCGATTTGCGAAATCGTTCCACTTGATTTACAAGGTCCTTAAAAAGAAGGAACCATTTTGCAGAAGATAAAGCCGTAGTATCGCAGGTGACGGAAATCGAATTGACATCAGAGCGTCAAACACAATAGCATATCTCTGTTCCTTCACTAAGAACATCCCGCAGCCTTATCACAACTGACGCAAAGTGGTTCTCGGCATAGAAAATTTACCCAACTCTATGGGAGTTTGTATTCACTGTAGTCCGGGCTGAACTTTCGAGCTTAGAAAGCTTCTCTCGCTTCCCCTGTTATCCTACCATAAAAACGTCGATATTGCATTAAACGTGAAATACGTAGACAAATATTCCATAAATGATATCCTCTGGGAGAAACAACGTTGCCGGGGAATTCATCCACTTTAAATGATTTGAATAAAAATTGAAACCTGTGTTTGCACGGAATATCTGAGAACAACTATTTCATTTAGTCACTGAAAGTGTCTCGCGAACGTGGGAATTATTCTGGCTGCAATTGCAGTTAATGATAAATGTTTTATGATGTGTATCATTAACGTTATTGACAATAAATTTTTATTAATGAATTATAGTATGGGTAGTAACATAGAACAGTAATGGTACAATAGTACAACAGTAATGGTAAAATTGTAGTATATTTAATCTTGTAGTCATGATTCTGCCGGGACGAGATACAATATAAGGCAAACTTAATGTGAGCTTAAAAATTTCAAGGTACAGAAGGGTTTTTCTGGTAAACAATACAGCTCTAGTCATAGTATAGTAGTGTAGTAGTATAGTGGTATAGTGGTGTAGTAGTATAATAGTACAGCAGTGTAACAAGATAGCTGTATAATAGTGTAACATGATAGCAATATAGTAGTGTAACAAGATAGCAGTATTGTAGTGTAACATGATAGCAGTATGATAGTGGAACAAGATAGCAGTATAGCAGTGTAACAAGATAGCAGTATAGTAGTGTAACATGATAGCAGTATAATAGTGTAACATGATAGCTGTATAGTAGTGTAACAAGATAGCAGTACAATATTGTAACAAGATAGCAATGTAACAAGATAGCAGTATAATAGTGTAACAAGATAGCAGTATAATAGTGTAACAAGATAGCAGTATAATAGTGTAACAAGATAGCAGTATAATAGTGTAACATGATAGCAGTATAATAGTGTAACAAGATAGCAGTATAGTAGTGTAACAAGATAGCAGTATTGTAGTGTAACATGATAGCAGTATAATAGTGTAACAAGATAGCAGTATAGTAGTGTAATGAGATAGTAGTGTAATGAGATAGCAGTGTAATAGTGTAGTAAGATAGTGGTATAACAGTATAGTAGTATAGTAGTACAGTAGTGCAGTGGTACAGTGGTGCAATGGTACAGTGGTACACCAGTGTAGTAGTATAGTAGTATAGTAGTATAGTAGTACAGTGGTGCAGTGGTACAGTGGTGCAATGGTACAATGGTACAGTGGTACACCAGTGTAGTAGTATAGTAGTATAGTAGTACAGTAATACACCAAAATACTTTGAAAATATAAATATAAACGATTGAAAGAATAGAGATATTTTGATTGAGTACCACTGTCCCCGTCCAAAAGGAGACACGTGTTAAGAAATCGTGATGGAGCAGAAGGGAACAGTTCTGCTGTCGATGCCTACAGTTCTGCTGTTCAATATCGACCTATTATAATAGGATGGCATGCTTCAAAAGCCCCTGTCCTTTGTAATATTACCGGCTGGGTCACACAATAATCAAGTTTACGTACGACATTACGTGTATACCGTAATGTTACGTGTATCACGGGCAAAAATGTGTGCGGCGGAATATCATAGATTAGTCAATCAAATACCGATATCTATTAACCTAATAGAATCGATAGGACAAATGGTAACCTTCCTTTAAATCCTCGATACAGTAATACATTCGAAAAGACTAAAAATATAAGGAAGCTTTGAGTAATTTGAAAAATGGAGGTGTTCAAGTTTGGCGCCAAATTTGGTGCCGCTGTTAGGTTAGCTTCCATCGTTCGATCTCTTTATTTCTCACTTCTGTTTTTGCACATATCTTCCTTAGATTATTTTTTAACTTAATTTTAATATATTAAACTAGATATATTGTTTAATATATACGTATTTAATTAAATTAGAAACGGATAATAAAAAAGTTCACCTTCTGGAGTCTCGTGCTTCACAAGATATCTTCCATATTTTTCGAAGCTTTCTTCCGCGTGAATTCTCCGAGGAATAAAATATACGAACATGGAGAAACGGCTGAGCTGAAGTTTATAACGAATTTAAAGAGAATTCCTTCGTGAAATCCAATTGAGAGTTTTTTAGAAAAAAAAGGGAGGAAGAAGATGGCGTTGCACCACCCACGGTTGGTCACTCGAGGGTTTTCCAGTAATTGCTATTCCTTCAAGTTTCACGCAATCTTGGTTGTAGATCTTTCATCTAACAACAAATGTCCTGGCAAATAAAACAGGAGTACTTGATGGTCTTGCTAACGAGTCCTCTACGGGCTCCACCAAGGAAATGTCCTCCATTTTCGTTTCTTCTATAAAATATCACATGAAATTGCAACATAAAATTGTAACATAAAATCATAACATAAAATTGTAACATAAAATCGTAACATAAAATTGTGACATAAAATTGTAACATAAAACTGTAACATAAAACTGTAACATAAAATTATAACATAAAATTGTAACATAAAACTATAACATAAAATTATAACATAAAATTGTAACATAAAATTGTAACATAAAATTGTAACATAAAATTGTAACATAAAATTGTAACATAAAATTGTAACATAAAATTGTAACATAAAATTATAACATAAAATTGTAACATAAAATCATAACATAAAATTATAACATAAAATTGTAACATTTCTGACATAACATTTTCTGTTGCAGATGTTTCAGGGATATTTAACCATGGGCTCAACGTAGTCAACGAAGAGGTCGACAAAAGTTCGCTAAACGATCAAGTAATTTGACCAGGACCATTAATCAGCAATACAAAAAATCAGTACAAAGACTAAGAACCAAAAAAAAAGAGAAAAACGAAGAAAAATCAGGAAAAAGATGTAAGGGAAGTTGCAAGGAAAGTACAATAAGAAAATAAAGCGAGGACAATCTTCACTAAAGTTACCTAATTACTCGACGTAAATTATTTAAATAAATTAATATACGTATTTCTATGGACGACTGAAGATAAAATTGTACATTAAAACACGAGAGATTATTATTATACTAATCGCTGTTAAGAGACATTTGATGTTTAAAGTATTATTAGAAGAAGGAATATTTTGATTTTGAGTAGAGAAGATTTAAAAATAGAGAGATTATGATTTGAAGGGAGAGAATACAATCAACTGAAGAAATATACACGTTTAAGAAAGTATAGATGTTGAATAAATAGTTGATTATATAAAATGTTTAGTGTACATTGGGTCCACGTTTGAAGAGATTAAATCTGTTTTTATTGTTATCACTGAAGAATATATTTAAAAAATATATACTGCAAGAAGAAATATACTATAAAGGTGACTATTGTGTAGCAATAATTTTATGTTGTTTCAAAAAATTTCATTTAAATATTTTATATATTTTAAAATAAACCTTTTTATAATAATTTTGCTATAACTTAGCAGTTATGTTTAATATCTATTTAATTTATCTTTTAACCTCAAATACTTGTTCACGCTCGTGCTCAGCTCGAAGCCATCACTACTTATGTTTTTCGTTAATAATTCAAAAATTAAGCTTCAGTCAACATTTTGGTAAAGGAAAAAGTTGTTCAGTATCACCTCAGCTACCATCCCCAGAAATTATACCAACCAGTACCCTTATAATTGTAAAATAATGAAATATTTAACCGAGTACTAATAAAAATAACCAAGGTCTTTTGTCCAGAGGGAAGAATGTTGATTTAAATCGGGAAGGTAAACGTCGAAAATGAATCTAGAAGTGGAACTGATCGCAAGGGTGATTAAGGGTGGACCACCCCGTAAAAATTTACCCGCCCCGAGGCTCATTAAAATCTTCATCGCTGGAGAACGGAATGGTCTTATATTCATCACATTCTTTTATCTGTACAGTCGACTCTCATTATATTGCCACATCTCCACTTGTTCTAAATTCTATGGCAATATAACGAGAGTCCACTGTATCCCTGTATGTTCACTCTTTCTCAAATGGCACATACGATGATTAAAATCATCTTGTATTTGCTTTCTCAAATATTTCACTGTGTAACGAATCGAATGTGTCATTTGAAAAATACACAGCATTTGTGATACGTATTGGTGTGCTGTCTTTAACCCATTAGCTGCGTATTTCGCGAACAGTCGACAGTTTAAACGAGTTGTATTCGCCATTTGTGTCGATAAAGAACGTCAAATGTGAATTTAATTAATAGAGTACAGTCTTCTGGAATATTCGCAGGCTTAATTAAGTTTGCGTTTCGACTAAATTTGAAATAGATTTCTGTCTGAAAATACGGGTAAAGTTCGCGTCTAGCTTCTGAATACGTCAAAAGTTTCGGCTTAGTCCGCTCGGTGGAAGTTTGATTAAATTTATGTTCGAACAGTTCGATAACTCCAAAAATCTGTACTTTTTAGATACATTTTTCAAAACTTTCATATTTTTTTACTCAAAGCTGTCAAACAAACAAAATGAAAATTAAATAAAAAGTCTAATGGGTTGAAGAGACATAAATGCTTCGTTTATTAATTTACAAACATGTATTGTTTATGTGCATATATGTGAATTATCGTGGTCGATTGTTCTGTTAGTGTATGCGTCTTTATGTATGCCTGTCTATAGCTATCGATTTTTTCTCGTTTATTTCGAACATTTATTTGATTGCTTGCGTATTAGACGAGGAATGAGTTTCTGTATCTGTGTATCTACGTGTACGTGTACACACTCGAATTCAACTTTCGAATGATGCAGCTGGTCTCTGTATAATTTCATGCTCTACACTCTCGTTATATTGCCGTTTGTATACTCTGCAATTTGCAATGTAACAGAAATAGATATACGTACAAGTTATGTCAATTTGCTCAATTGGCATTGATAAATTGGCCACTGATAAATTTCAGTAAAAATGCAATATAACGAGAGTGAGAGATTTAGAGGTTCTCGAATTTAAAATTAGAAAATTTGAAAAGCTCAAACGTTCTTAAGTTCTTAACTTTGTAAATTTGTAGAAGTTTAAAGTTTGCTCAAAAATGCAATATAACGAGAGTCAGAGATTTAGAGGTTCTCGAATTTAAAATTAGAAAATTTGAAAAGCTCAAACGTTCTTAAGTTCTTAACTTTGTAAATTTGTAGAAGTTTAAAGTTTGCTCGAAAATGCAATATAACGAGAGTCAGAGATTTAGAGATTCTCGAATTGAAAAGTAAAAAATTTGAAAAGCTCAAACGTTCTTAAGTTCCTAACTTTGTAAATTTGTAGAAGTTTAAAATTACTAAAAAATGCAATATAACGAGAGTCAGAGATTTAGAGGTTCTCGAATTTAAAATTAGAAAATTTGAAAAGCTCAAACGTTCTTAAGTTCTTAACTTTGTAAATTTGTAGAAGTTTAAAATTTGCTCAAAAATGCAATATAACGAGAGTCAGAGATTTAGAGGTCCTCGAATTGAAAAGTAAAAAATTTGAAAAGCTTAAAAATTTAAATTTCTAATCCAGCTTTTGTCATTCGAGGGTTGATCCTTGTATCGATAACAAAAATTCTCTAGTTATATCGCCGTATCCAATAGCATCGAAAAAATGAAATTTCAAAGAGTTTTAAAATATTTCAACGGTACTATTGTTTAACGTTTATTATTGGTACAAGGTTTTGTATATGCGAGTGAATAAGATTGTTCGTGTATATTTGATTCTACGCAATGGTAAAACGAATCAATAAAACACAAACATGTTTAATAAAGAAAGCAACCTGTCAATTGTTCAATAAAGCATTTGTCAATCGATTCACTTGTTTATGTGTTTGTACAATATTGTCCATTCATCCTTGCGTTCACTTTATCATCCACTTCTGTTTGTTCTTACGTTCAATCGCACCTACACGTGCTTCGTTATGTTTATTTCCTTCCTCTCATTTCGTTAATCACTCTAATCGAAATTTTCGATATTCGGAAACTTTAGAAGTTCGATTTAGGATTTAGGAATTTAGTGGATTTATAGAGGAACTTAGCAGATTTACAGGGGAATTTGAAATATTTTCAGTATTTGAAGCAATTTCAGTTTTTATTGAAATTCATTTATTTTGCACTCAACTTTACACGTGCTCACAATTAACCTATCGATTCCTAACAAATTAAATTAATAAAATTAAATTCATACTAATTGAATTATAGATATAAAATAGCCGTGTCGCTAAAGTTATAGAGCCCCGAAAGCTAACGCCATTAAAATTAACTAGATTCTACTAAAATTATGTTAAACCTGTTAATTTTTCGAAATTCCTCGACTTTCATTTAGACTGCTTGCTCATGTATGCGCATACACACGCACTCTCAATTATTTTATAATTTCCGTTATCTCTTCGACATTTTCAGAGTTTGTCGAGGAACGGAAACAACTGTTAGAATTAGTCGGACCAGAATTGCAATCGATTTACGATGACATGGGAATCGAGGTACGAACAAAAAGAATTTCTCTTTGTTAAAAAGAAGATATACCGATACCAACCCAGGAGTTGGCGCGTGACGTGTTTAGAAGAGCTACAATTGGTCGCAATAGGAAAATGGACGATCACGTATCTTCTCATATTCACACGTATTTTCTGCAGAACAATTTTCGGTGGATCTTTTGGGTCACCAATTCGTGGGTTGACATCTGTACATATCTTCCTTTTTATTTTATTACATGGTGTAAATATTGCAAGAAAATTCGTTTGAAAATCAATTTTAATACAGAAGTTAAATAATATAGGTTCTTTTGGTGGATATGCACTATGCAACGAATGTGAATCCTGATAGAAGTCCATACTTAGCCGAATACTTTTTCGACGAAATACATGCTGCTTATCAACATTCGAGAGGCTGTTTTCTATTGGTAAGTGTGGTTATATAGTAGTGGTCCCTCGTTATATTGCCATTTTCATTTGTAACAATACTAGTCCTCATTATTATGTACATAAAACTTCACCGAATATCTTCGTAGTATTAAACGAGAAGCTTTAGGATGAATATAGAGTAGTCTCTCGTTATATTGCCATTTTCAATCATACCAATACAAGTCCTCATCATTATGTACATAAAACTTGATGCATATCTTTGTAGCATTGAAGGAGAAAGCTTTTGGATGAATATAAAGTAGTCTCTCGTTATATTGCCACTTTCACTCATACCAATACAAGTCCTCATCATTATGTACATAAAACTTGATGCATATCTTTGTAGCATTGAAGGAGAAAGCTTTTGGATGAATATAAAGTAGTCTCTCGTTATATTGCCACTTTCACTCATACCAATACAAGTCACCATCATTATGTACATAAAACTTAACGAATATCTTCGTAGTATTAAAGGAGAAGCTTTAAGATGAATACAGAGTAGCCTCTCGTTATATTGCCACGTTACATAGACCCATAAAAATAACCTTTTACATTTAAACATTTCTATCAGATGATTTCAATAAATCATTTTTATTCAGATCAAGAAAAATTGAAGGATTTGAAAAATCTTTTCAAACTTATACCAAGTGCGTCCCGAAGTAATTAATTTCAATCTTTCGCTAATCGTTTTCACATCTTTCATCCTCCGACATAAACTGATAATAAAGATCCATATTATCTTTCCGTTTAGCTGAAACGCGACACCCGAGGAATATCTATTAATTACTGCGAAAGTGACGATGAAATCCGTGAGGAAATTAATTGAAAGAATAATAACGTGAAGCTTTATAACCGAGATAATCGTTACAAGAAAAACAATATTTAGATTATCTAAAAATTTTAATATGAAAGCTTACAGATTTAAAAATTTGCAAGCTTAGATATCTTAAAATTTGCAAGCTTAGATATCTCAAAATTTGCAAGCTTAAATATCTCAAAATTTACAAGCTTAGATATCTCAAAATTTGCAAGCTTAAATATTTAAAAATTTGGTACCTCAGATTTAAAAATTTAATTTTAATTATTTACATATTTCAAAACTTTCAAGCTTGAATATCTAAAAATTTACATTTGGTACATTAACATTTACTCCAGAGATTCAAAAACTTAATTTTAAATGTGCACTTCAATTTACACTTTCGTAAATTCAAATTTCCCGCGCTGCAGCCCCCTTTGCAGTGACATAACGAATGTCTGCTATCAAAAACCTAGCAATCCTTCTACCATCTCACTAATGATTTCATTTATCTTGAAAATTTCTTCCGACACAATTCAAGCGTCAGAATTGAAGTTAATGTATATTAAGAAACTACATTTTCTTCCTTAAGCTGCTTGTCGGAGACGAATACAATACAGGATGGCTGCCGACGAGACTCAGCGAGGAGACTTATGGAATTCTATCTTCCCGTTGCTCCGCGATGGAGGAATATTACGAACAGGATAGTAATTGCTACGTCTTAAAGGCTGGCAGGTACTTACGTTTTATTATGCTATTGTATAGAAGTGAAATGAAAATGGCGGGGGCGTAGACGATAAAAAAGAGATACGTCGCTTTTATTGCTCCAATCTCCACTCAGAATCTTTTACTGTCCATATTTTTATTCTTTCATTTATTCTTTTCTGTCAAATCTCTCTAATACAATTATTTTTATAAACATTATGTCGGAAAAATAATGGAACTTCTTAAATAAAAAGAAAATTTGAGACATTTTTCTTTTTTAAATATTCAAACTTCTACAACTTCTATTGTCAAGTTCATCGATCATATATTAAATATGTTAAATTATAAATTAATTGTTAAATGTTGAAAAATTAGAAGTTTAAGCAATCTAACCTAACCGTAAAAGTGTTAGGTAATAACTTCCGTTCTGCAGACTTCCCCGAAGTATTATTCATCTCATAGGCTTTTCATTTCTTTGTCAACGTCTACCTTCTATACCGCCTTGAATTTTCATTTTCTCTTCTTCTCTTTCTTCCCCTCTAAGGTTTCCACAATTACCTTTGTCTCGGCCTCTTTTTTACTCGAATCTTTGTTTTGCTGTCGTTTTTTGTCGCTGGCTGCCTTCTTTATCCTTTGTGTGCGCAGTACCCTCCGTTTTTATGAAAGAAATCGAGTGTTATAATCGTTCCTAAGCAGGCTTGAAACTTTCTTTAATAATCAACTTTTTCCTCTTCTTGTATTTACGACGTATATTTAGCCCTTGCTTTTATAAATACTTTCATGTAGAATTTTGTTACATAAATACCTTCTTAAAGTACAATTAAATGGTCTGACACAAGCTTTATTTAACGAGACACTTTATTATCGACACGCTTCGATTTACCTTATTAACTAAAACATAACAATTAATTTAATTTTGTAATCATAAGTGTATTTATAAAAAATTGCAGATACGACACTGTAAAAGACAGCTGGCAAAGTTCAGAACCAACGATTCGAGAGACGCTGAAGAAAGCAGCGGAGTCCGTCGTATCCGAAAAATGTGATAACGAAGAAATTCGAAATATTTTAAAGAGCACCGTGGAGAGGCAGCTCGAGTACGCCCTAAGTGAGTTTCCAGCAGAACATTCCTATAAAAACGAATAATATATTGAGTGTCTTTTACAGCCTTGGACGAAACAGGAGACGGAATAATAGCAGTGACACGAACGTGGAAGGGGAAGAAGAATCCGAAAGCGGTGTCGTCGTTAAAGTCCCTAGTAACCAGTAATATAAGAGAAGACAATATTATTAACGTAGACGTCGAACAAAAGCCAGGCGGTATTAACCCTGACAATAGAAACCACAAGGTGTATTTGGCTCATCTCTGTCGTTTGGTGGTGAATCGCGTGCAGACCTTGGTGAACGCTTCGATCGAAGCGGACCCTGAGATCAAAAGCAAGAAGAAAATGGTGCAGGAGATTTACGCGGAGAGTTTGATGCACCTGGCTCTCCTGAGAGACGTGAAACCTTGCGGGGAGAATGAGAACGTCGAACGAATTAAGCAACTGTTTATTAATGGTAAAAATTGTTCACACTTATCGAGTTAGCGATGTTAAGTGTCATGGCGGACGTGTGTCTTTGGTGCTGAGAAATTGAATTTGGGGTTAATCATTTTCAGAGGGTTATGAAGGTTAAAATAAAGTCCTCTAATTTCTAAAACTGCAAATTTTTAAATTTCCAAGTTTCTACCTTTCCGAATTTTCAAATTCTATCACAAAAATTTCAAACCTTCCCGCCAATTCACTACACATAGACAATGATCGAAATGATTAAAATAACGTTCGCAATGATTAAAACAGTGATCGAGCGTTGCAATGTTTCCCAGGAAAATCACAGAAACACGGTCCAATAATGATAAAAGGCGGCAAGTACTCCGGCAAGTCCTCTCTGCTGTCAAGAATCTACGCGGACGCCTCATCTTGGTTAGATTGCGCCACTTTCAAAGTGGTTCGCCTCTGTGCTTCCACTCCACGATCAGCGTACAGCTTGGAGTTGCTTCGAGTGCTGTGTCAACACATCGGTTTCCTTTCTGGCATATTAGACGGAAACCTCCCTAAAGATGCCTCGTTCGACCCTCTTTACCTGAACAATTGGCTGGGCCAAATTATGAGGAAGTTGGAAGAGGAGCCGCTTAAGGAGCAACTGGTGATCATACTTGATGATCTTCATCGATTGCATCCGTTGGAGTGCGACATTGTTGCTGCTCTTTCTTGGTTACCTATACATTTACCTCCAGGTAGTGTGGCTAATTAGAGCTAGTAGGGTGTACGTAGAAAATGATAGAAGCTAGCTGCGTCCCTTTAAAAGCTGCTAGAACTGGGTCTTGCTAGATGTTGCTAGAGCTGAGTCTTGTTAAAAGCTGGGACCTGCTAAAAGCTATTAGAGCTGGGCCCTGCTAAAAGCTATTAGAGCTGGGTCCTGCTAAAAGCTACTAGAGCTGAGTCTTGTTAAAAGCTATTAGAGCTGGGTCCTGCTGGAAGCTACTAGAGCTGAGTCTTGTTAAAAGCTATTAGAGCTGAGTCCTGTTAGAAGCTATTAAAGCTGAGTCTTGTCAAAAGTTATTAGAGCTGGGTCCTGCTAAAAGCTATTAGAGCTGAGTCTTGTTAAAAGCTATTAGAGCTGGTTCCTGCTAAAAGCGATTGGACCTAGGTCTTGTTAGAAGCTATTAGACCTGGATCCTGCTAGAAACTAGTAGAGCTAGGTTCTGCTAGAAGCTATAAGACCTGGGTCCTGCTAGAAGCTATTAGACCTGGGTCCTGCTAGAAGCTATTAGAGCTACATCCACATAGGGACCAATCCGATAGAGATCCAAGTATAAGCTAATAGATCTGATGTCCACATGAAAGCTAGTAGACACAAGGTCCACATAGGAGCTAGTAGAGCATACATGCAAAGAAGAACTAATATCAATAGAAATGCAAGTACAAGCTAATATATCTGATGTCAACATAAAAGCTAGTAGACCCAAGGACCACATAGAAGCTAGTAAATCCCAATAAAAGCTATTACAACCAATGTCCTAGCAGAAGCTATCAAAACCAGATCCCTCTGACCAGCCCTATACTCCAGACTTCTAATCCCAGTATAACCTACAGTCCCAACATCACAAAGAACACTGCTAACTCTTAACATTATATATTCCAGGAGTGCATTTAGTAGTAACAACAGCGGTACCTCCAGAAATGCTGCGCCTCACCCCAGTCCAGAAAGAGAGATTGCGCAGTAGCGAGATCTTGATCGAACTACAAGACCCAACTCCAGATACCCATGAAACTGAAAATGTCTTTGACATGTTAGAAAAGCTGGTAGGAGAATGTGCAGCCAATAGAATTGGCGCGATTTTAGCTTGCACGGAGTATGGTTTGTCGGAAACAGAGGTGCTTGAGGTGATCATGCCGACTGGGGGTGATGGACCTCTGTTTCTGGAAGAAGGCATGTTTAACTTTTCTACTTGGTATCTGGTTAGGAGGACGTTCAACGAATTTCTGAAGGTAAATCAAGTGACTGTAATATGAAAGAACCTATATGAAGACCTATCTTAGACACCAAAGTAATTATCTTAGGTACCAAAGTACCCAGGTACCAAGATTGAGTTACCTATTGCTGTTAAGGTCCGGGTGTTAAGCGGAAGACTGCTGTTCTCCTGGCAATACCCGATCCGCGACCTCGCCCGCAAGAGATACTTCTCCAACCAGGAGGTCTTGAAGAGTTACCACGGCGAGCTAGCGAATCTCTTCTTCTCGGAGGACTTCGAGGACAAGGATGACAAATCATCTCCTGAAGAGGAGACTCCGAAGAAGGAGACACCTTTCCAAAGCAGACCCAGGTCACAAGACACGGCGTACAACATTAGACACGTCGAGGAAGCGTGGTTACATTTACTGCGAGCCGGAGACGTCGAGAAGCTAAAGAAGTTAGCGGTCTGCGCCTTCGACTTCCTCCTTGCCGCCGTTCAAATGATTTCCGTCAGTTACCTACGATGCGTTCTGGAACACTCGAGGAGGTACCTGCTTGAAAGAGACTTGGAGTTGGTTTACTACACCATAAGAAAGTCCAGCGACATTTTGACGAGGGATCCTCTCCAGCTTGGAGCGCAGCTCATCTGCTGGCTGAGACCCGTTGCGGAGGACGGTGGTGATCTGGTGAGAAACTGTGTAATGTTAATTAGTTTATCTATATCATGAACTGTTTTCATTAAAGGTGAGCAGAATGGTCACTGCAGCAATGGCTTGGTGCGACGGTTACACGGCCCCGTTATTAGTGCCATTAAATGGCTGGCTTCAACCACCTCTGCCTCTTCAAATTCGCACACTATCCTGTCCACAAGGAGTGAAACTCGTGGAGGCTGCTCCTTCGGGACAGCATGTCATCGTGGTTCCTTTTCAAGGCGACGCTCAACTCTGGCACGTGATGTCTGGACAATTGGTTCACACCTTCAAAGGTACAGGTCTTCATCTGTGCTGAAGATGGTCTTACTTGATCTTATTTGAAGATGGTCTACTGTCTCATGCAAAATTTCAGGTCATTCCAGTCCGATTTCCTGCCTAGCAGTCACCCAGCAGTCCCAGTACTTGCTGACTGGCTCTGAAGACACTTCGATCATAGTCTGGGACATGAAGGAGTTGACCTTGAAGTTGAGAATACAGGAACACATCGCACCAGTATTGTGCTTGACATCTGCCCTCAAGAATTCTGTGATTGTCAGGTTCACAACTTAGTCTTGACTACACTCCAACTATCATCACACGATGACTCTATTAACTTCTAAAGCTAACCAACTCTCTATCTTTTTCAGTGGAGGCGAAGACTCCAGGATCATCGCTACGAGTCTGCTAACAGGCGACGTCCTCATCAAAGTGGACCACCACAGAGGCCCCGTGAACTCCATTCTCGTCGATTCCGCCGGGGAGATCCTCGTCTCCGGCTCCTCTGACTGCACAGTTTGCTTGTGGTGTCTGGTGAGATTCACGTTGCTGAAGAGCATCATGCTCCCCTCCGCGGTGACGATGCTCGACGTGTCGGCCGATTCAGTCTTTCTGTTGGCGGCCTGCGAGGATCAGAAACTGTACCTGAGGTCTCTGGCGACGGGGACAGAGATACACACGCTGAGGGGACATCAAGGAGAAGTGAAGAGCATCTGTCTGGCGAAGGACTGCAGAAGGGCGATCGCTGGGGGGACCAAGGGCAAAGTCTCGGTTTTTGATATGCACAGCGGGAGGCTGACGAAAACACTGCCAGCTAGTCCTTCGGCGGATGTCACTGCTGTTAAAGTAGGTTTGGGAGTAGAGTTAGCTTAGGTCTCATTAGAAGCTCCACAAGTTCTATAACCTCCTAAACATCTCGTACTTCCCCACATGATATATAATTGCTTATACAACCCTCAACATCCTCCAGATCTCTCATGAAGTAATTTCTTTAAAGGTGACAGACAAAGACGACTTCCTAATAACAGCAGCCGGCGACAGAGTAGCTTACTGGAGCTTCCGCGGTGAAGAAGCACACGCAAAGGTCCAAAAGTCCAGTAAGCAGGAATCCTTGCATCCACATACAGCCCCGATCTCCTGTTTGGACATATCCAGGGATGGAGCTATGGCAGTCACCGGTGGAGTCGACTCCCTAGTGAATTTGTGGCAACTGAACACTCACGAGTTACTCTCGACCTTCGAAGGTCACATCGCGAGCATCACCTGCATTGCGTTCTCAGCTTCTGGGCTATTCGTTGCTTCCGGTGTGTAGATGTGCACTAAATATCAAGTGTACTGGATGATCAAACGTTGTTCCATGTAGGGTCCGAGGACAAGACGGTCCGAGTCTGGGGACTGACTTTAGGACTAGTTGTGGCTACCTTCAAACACCAGGCACCGGTTACTGCAGTCACCGCCATGTTTGACGGCCGGCGGATAGTCAGTTCCGACAGGGCTGGCGCGATCCGAGTTTGGGCAGCTGATACTGGGACTCTGATTCAGTCCGTGTGTGGACCTGGACGTTGCTTCACTGTTTCTTCTGACATGAGGTACATTTTGAACTTAGGTGTAAAGGTGTTCTAAGGAGCACTAAGAGTCATAAGATCTCTTCATCAAGTACTTTGGAAGATGTGTAGACTTTAAAGTTTGATGTAACTCTAGGTACGCTATTTGTGGAACCGGAGACAATCAACTGCGGATAGTGAGCTTGGGAGCCGGCCCCGAAGAGAAGTACCTGGTCTCACATTCTCAGGACATCACATGCCTAGTGGCTACTCCCGATTCCCGTCAACTAATCACCGGCTCCAGAGACATGAGCCTGAAAGTTTGGCAACTTGCCGGTGGCAAATTATCACAGGTTTCTTCCCACTTCCCTTGCTATTACAAGGCCTTGCTCGTTACAAAATTAAAACCAAATCTGACCCTGACTTAACAATATTTCAGGTGCTCGTGGGACACACCGATCACGTCACCTGTGTCGCAGTATCCGTCCTAGATAAATCCATCGTGGTATCCGGCTCCAAGGACGCCAACCTCATAGTCTGGGACATCGACACCGGCTCAGACCTCCACACCCTGAAGGGCCATTTAGGGTACATCATGTGCGTGAAGCTATCCGGAGACGGCTCTCTTGCGGCTTCCGGGAGCGAGGACAAGAGTCTGATCATTTGGGACACGAGGAAAGGCTGTCCTCTCAGCAGCATCATGCTACATGTGCCTGTGCTGGGCCTCGAAGTTGCCACGGACCTTTCTAGACTCTCTTTACATCTCCTCGAACATAAATGCATGCCTATACTCTGTTTATATAATACGCCGGCTCAGTATGTTAAGTTACCTGATTATGTGGCACCCTGGTGCGATATCAGGGACCTGAGACCTCCTGGACCAAAGAGACCTAATAAGAGGCTGCTGAAGAAGGAGGTGTCTCTGGACAGCGACACGTGGCGCAGGAAATATGGACATCTTACGTCTGGTAGGGGTCTTTGGCTTGTAAGATTTACTTTGGGGTAATTCTGATGTTCTCTGTATTTATACAGGAGTGTTAAGATCATCAGTGGACGACGGTTTACAACGACGTTTTAGCGTAAGTGCATCAATGGACGAGATCAGCAAAGTCGGATTAACGAGTAGTCCTTCGGGACTCGGACCGGAACAGGCCGCCCTAGCTCAGTCGCAGCATTTCGATCAGCTGGAGGCACTTTGGAACAAGCAGTCGCCTCCTGCCAGGCCTCGTTCTCACGGTAGAACACTTTCCAAGCAGAGTTCTCTGCAGGCCACGCGAATATCCGACTCGGAGGAGGAGGGTAAGCGGGAAAATAATTAACTTCGTTTCGTTCTTACCGGCAATATTTTTAGCACGATAAAAGTGTGCATCTTTGCAGGTGTACCAGACTAAAGAGATAAAACGTTCTATTACAAGCTAAACGGACTAAATCCTAATCGTCGTACCTTCTTCCTTTTCCACTATCTTCCGAACGAAGAGAAACGAGAAAATGGCGTGCTACGAAAAGCTACGACTTCTCGTGTCCGATGCAATAAACGTAATTATATAGAAGTATAAACAAACGCACGTATACATACTACATGTATATCGATATTAGCGAAACAATAAATTAAAAGTTATTTATTTTCATCGTTCATCCTCGACTCTACAGGGATCATTTTTATCGTGAGAAAAAGATATATTACTTTGATGTATTTATTTATACAACTCGTGAATTTGATCTTTTATAACGAATTTGTTGTGCGAAGATGTTTATTTACCATTTCAATTGTAATTAAATTAAAGTTGAACGAAAAATGTTTTGTGCACTTTATATGTATACTCCTTATAGGGAAATAATTCTATTTACTGCCGAACTTTTGTTGATAATAGTCTGCGACGATGCGCCATGCTTTTGGTGCCATGAAACCTTCTGGTGGATTTTCACCTGATTTTGCTAAGGCTGAAATTTAATTTTATGAATTAATAATTTAGTTCTATTGTATTCCACCGACTAATGATCTAAACATTTATGTGTTCATTAAATAAATAAATTTACCCCGCATTTTAGTTCCTGAAATAAAGCTGAAGTCTTGAGATCGTTCAGGTTCGAAGAACGCCATCTTACGCGCTTTATTATCGTACGCCGCTACTCTGAAGGGAATTATCTCAAGACCCTCAAGTCCCGGAGCCATGGACAGAACCCTGGACCCATGGGTTCCATCATACAAGTTACCTAACGTCCAACAATTCATTAGTAACCTTTCCAAATTACTTGGTCAAAGTTTAATTACCATCTGGTGTTTTGGATTTGTCAGGATGCGGTAGACCGGCAGGGTCTCGTCCAACGATAAAGAAGTTCGCTCCCGCCATCATCCTTCCTTTCGCGTGCCATTGCACCTGGAACATTTACTTAATTAAATAAAAACAGAAAATGCTGATAAAATAATTTAGCTGATAATTTATAAATACTTGAGTAATATTTTGTAATCAAATTAACTGACCTCAGTGGGTCCAGCATACATCATAGGACTCGGAAAAATGGCAAGTATAGTGTCCTCATGCAAAACGCCTTCTTCCAACACGCTTTGGTGTTGATTTATTCTAACTAACAATGGCACATCATCCTCTTTCGTCCACCCTCCCAAAGGATGTAACAGCAGCACAGGTTTCTTGAAACCGCGTTCCTCCACCAGGTATCTTCTCGTATCCTAAAATTTTCCTTTTAAAAAATGTACTATATACAACGATACGACGATACCAACCTGCATTAAAAGCGCGTGGCCATTGTGTATCGGGTTTCTCAGCTGAAAGGCGAACACAGCGTCGGCACCCATGTCCTTGCACTTCCTTCGAATCTCGTTCGGCGTGAGTCTGAATTTGTCGAGACCGTCGTTCCATTTTATTCTTTCTAGGACTTCTAATTCCCCTCCGACCAGCCAGTCACCTGAGTCGTGTATCATTTTTACGTACGGGTGTCCGGGGTCGTTCGTTCCGAATTCTCTGCAACATCTGTCGCCATTTTGTTTGAGTGATGTTTAAAAAATTCGTGATATTAGAACCTGATATTTAAATAATTTGTGATATATTTAGAACCCGATGTTTAGGAAATGTGTTAAATTTGTAACCTTTCCTCCTTCCGGTGCGCGAAGAATTCGGGCTTCCTCAAAATCGCGATGCTTCGTCCTTGGTACTTCAAGGTCACCGCCGTAGAATCTGAACACGCCTCTTTCTGATCAGCGCCGATCGGAAGTACGATCGGTATCGACTGATTGATAACCGTCTGGTCCTTTCCGATAATCTTGAAATGTTGACACTACCAAAAACAATTTCTTTTCAGATCGACACGTAAAATTTTCCAGTACCGATGAGTGCCGCGTTAATATTATCTGAAGTAAACAATAATACGTATTAAATACGGAGATTTAGATATTGTGTTTACGTATTATTTTTTATCTCATAATCTTATATAAATCACTTAAACCGATGATTTTAAATTAAATGAGTTGTAAATATTTATTGGATTATAAAATATATCTAGCCTCTTTATTTTTAATACCTACTTGCAGGTATTGGTCTTCTCTCATAAAGCCTCTTAGCGGACTTGCCCAGCCTTCGGCGAGTACTTGGATCCACTGCAGATCGACGTCGTTGATCTCGATGCCTTAAATGTTACAAAGCCTTTTAATACTTTTGTACAATATCAATTTCATTTTACATGTACGTGAAATATTTTTTCAAAGATGACAAGGTTTCAAAGGTCTGAATCTGAAGAGGTATGGTGAAACCTTCAAGGTTGACTTGTACCTTTTCAAAGTCAAACTGTTTTGAAAATACAAATTAGAACTTGAACATAAAACTCTGTACTTGAACATAAAAATTTGCAAAGAAACTATAAAGTAAAATTCTCTTGGAAGATTCCAAGATGGTTTCCAAGTTGGACTTCATCAAATTTTTATTAAACCTTGCATCAGCAATAATGAAACTGTAACGTCACCTAATAAGAAAATTGTTCAAATCCAATTTATATTTCCTTGGAGGATTTTCATTTTTTTGATAAATAATATACAAAACGATAAAGGAATATGACCTAGGACATAAGAGTAAAGGTCATCAATTCTGCAAGTGCTTCAAACAGTACTGCAACTGTGATCACAACGTAGAATTTTCAAACAGCCTGTAGAATCAAAGCTTGTAACCCGAAGTAAGATCACGTCTCACGTTCGCCTTAATCCGTACTAGATCGTGCCGTATCATATGGCCGATTTCGAAACATAGAAAGTCCGCCACCGTCATAAACACGAATTCTTCAATGTTCCTATCAATCAATATCAACGATTATGAAATAAAAACATACTAAAGAGACTCTCCGCTTCTCGTTTCGCTTCCTCCAGCCTGCCCTCCTCAACGAACAGTTCCTCCACTTCTTCCGGTATCACCGGAACGATTCCCTGCTTCACCAGAAAATCGATCAGCATCCTCTTCGAACCTTCCAAACTATGTTCCTCGGTGTTCAGAACAAGATCAGCGTGCGTGGGAGTCTCGTAATCTTGCCCGATACCCGTGAAGCTCTTGATGACACCTTTCCTAGCCTTCTCGTAGAGACCCTTCACGTCCCTCGCTTCGCACGTCTCCATCGAGGCTTTCACGAACACCTCGAAGAACCTCAGGTTGAACTCCTCGTGGATTTTTCTCGCTAGTCTCCTGTCGGCTTCGAAAGGCGAAACGAAGCTGCAGATGGTGATTATACCGCAGTCCGCGAATAACTTTGCTACTTCGGCCGCTCGGCGGACGTTTTCCTCCCGGTCCTCCTTGCTGAAGCCTAGGTTTCGGTTTAGGCCTCCGCGGATGTTGTCGCCGTCGAGGCTGTAGGCGGGTATTCCCTGAAGAAATATGGCGTTAAAGAAATTTTATGTGTTTGATATACTTGATTTTTTTAATATTGAATGTATATTTCATTTATTCAATTTTGTATATTTTGTAAGATGATAGGAAATGTTATTGGATGGAGCGATTGTGAGTGTGGCTGCAGCAGACTCTTGTTATATTGTTATGGAGAGCTGGATCTGGGAATTAACAATATTATTTAGCAATATACTGTTCTAAACAGCTACTATGTAATATTAATGTCAATGAGTTGCTATGTAATATTAATGTCAATGAGTTACTATGTAATATTGACGTAAATAATTTTCATAAATATATTTACCTGCGAAACTAGATAATTTTCTAGTTGAAACGAAATCGAGGTCTTCCCAGCTCCTGAGAGTCCCGTTAGCCAAATGGTACATCCACGGAATCCTTTAAATTTTCCATAGTGCTCGCCTCGTTTCTCTCTTGATACGTGATGTATCTGCTGTGTCACGTTCGTCGAACGATTCTGTTATAATAATTACAATAATAAATTATTATCGTTATAATAAATTACAAATTCAAATTGTGGCTTAAAATAATAATATTGTATGCAGGCTAAACAGATCATCTTCTATATGATCAATATGTACATAGCTTTGATACCTGATTACTTTTTCTCTGTGCGCTTCGATCTTCTACCAAACTCTTTATATACATCCCCATTTCGAATATTCGACTCTAAACTAGCTTAACTTCTTTGACTTCAGATTTAATATTTGTGGATCCGTTTGAAATTTTTGATACAGCTTATTGTTAGTTCGTGAATTAAGCGAACTTGATGGAGGTTGAAGAACGGAACTTTTCACGGAAGTCACAGAAAATAGATCCGCGGGAAATTAACGAGATTAAGAGAAGAAAGTACCCAGATGCATGGTTCCGAGTAGACTGAAGATTTAAATTCTTTCAAACGAGAAAGCGAAAAGGAAAGTAAAGGTGCCGTAGTGGGATCCAAGAATTCCACGTAATTTCGAATCTGATCGGAAGTGAAGCTAACTGAAAGTCATCTTCCTATAATTACTCTTCAGTATCTTCCTCTTCTAAATTCTTGTGTGGTACATTAAATAGATCCTACTTAAGTTCTCATACTTAAGTTACAAAAGAATATTCAAGAAAAGAAGATACATAAGAAAATGATGTTTTATAGTAAAATGTTTGCACTCGTATGATTTCTTGTTTACAATGGTTTGAATTTCTTCGGAAGTGTTTCACGTTCGCACGTTTTATGTGTGTACTTTTCTTGGAACGTAAAAACATAACAATGCATGACGAACAATAATTTGCGATCTAGTTTCGCGGGAAAATCGGTTTTCGCAATGGTCGCGGTTTCAAAGATTTTAGAAGTTGAACTTATTCGAAATTTCCTATTCTATGATGTATCTATTAAATTACTAGCTCTTAACACTTTAATAATTCATACCAAGTGTTAATTACAAGTTTGAGGTATTACATATAAGTTTCATATTAAATCTACATATAAAAATTCACATATAAAATGTACATATTAAATCTGCATATAAAAATTCACATATAAAATGTACACATTAAATCTACATATAAAAATTCACATATAAAATGTGCATATTAAATATCTATATAAAAGTTCACATATAGAATGTACATATTAAATCTACATATAAAAATTTACATATAAAATTTACATATTAAATGTATCTATAAATTTTATAAATTTAATATATTTAATATATTTCAATTTACATATAAATTTAATATATCACATTGTGATGTACATGAATTTGTCTGTAAATGAACTGGAATATATAAATACTCTTGTAACTCTTGTTGCCTCAAATTAACTAATTATATATAGTCTACTTAATTAATTGTCAATTACAAATTGCAGACAATTACATTTTAACATAAAGTTCAATTAAATTTGAATTAATCTAATTTAATAAAAATGAAGAAATTAAATTTGCACTCTAATATTTAATTTCAGTCTCTTCAAGCAAATCTTTCCTCTGAATTTCCTGTGAATTACAAATATATTAATGATTGTAATGAATGAATGATTGTGACATTAAATAGTTACCAAAAGTATCCGAGATTCACACCGTATCTCACGAAAACACACACTACAGATAATATCGATAAAAACTGATAACTTACACAATTAATTTGCCCAGAGCTTTTCATTTCGCCTCTACCGTACATTTTCCGAATGAACCGTATTACTCCGTTAAAACGTTCGAATTCGATATCAAACACGATACGTCACGAAACAGTATATTATTATACGAACAATTACGAATGGACATTAGTGAGTGACGTGGGTGTAATGAGTAGCAGGTGACATGTGCTCTTTCATATATCATCGAGAGGTGTCAAGAAGGCGTCTATTATTCACAGGAGGGGAGAAATTGTATACTTTCCCTCTTCTTGTTCTACATGTGACCCTGAATGAAAGAAAAAACGAGTAGTAATGAAAAACTCGAGGACAAACGATAGAGAAATTTTCTTACTTCGTTATTTAGTTCAGTAATGCTTATTCCTCGTAAACGGAATAATTATATTTTCATGTTCCTCGAAATCCATTATGACTTTAATCTCCTCTTTTTTACCGCCATTTTTTTCTGCAACATTGTGGACCGTAGTTCAACTCTATTTAATTTATACTACTTCTATTATTTTGTCTGAAAAAATAATCGATAACTTTATTCAGATATAGGATTTGTTATCTTGGAAAAACCCATGATATGATTAAAGTAAGTCATTTTTAATGACGTTCCTAATAGTTCGATTCATAAAAGATAAACGTAGTACCGTTTCTTTGACATCAGCCATCGTCATAAAAAGTGCAAGAAGTTTCGAGCAACTACCGAATTCAAAGAAACGATAAAAAGCACATCATTCCGAGTTGTAATTACTAGCACAGTATTTTAATATTTGAATTACTTTATTTCTACGTTAAATTTTGAAACATTAACGTTCTTTTATAATTGAATATTACACTCGTAAATTTACGCGCGAACAGAACCACTGACGTCATCCGGCGACCAATCTCAGAACTGTCAAAATATTAAATCGCGTTTTTTCACAAAACAAAACATTTTTATGATTTTCTGATGTGTACGAATTGTTCTACGCATTCGATAATGTAGGAAAAAAGTGTTTTAGTGTGCTAAAAGCTGCGGATTTGAAAATGTAAAAAATGGACATAAAAAATGATTAGCCATCTAGCGGTGGAAGGTAGGAACTAATTTTGTAGCGCCATCTCTCCTGCGAACGGGGTGAACTACACACTTTTCAAACAGCAGTTTAATTAGTTCTAGTTTTCTACCACTAGGTGGCAGCACATAAGGCCGAAACCCTGAAGGTAATTAAAATTATTCTAATAATTAAAACTTTGTAATAGTTTGGTCAAGTCAAAATAATTCAAACTTAATTATTTTTATACTCCGGTGTAAATCAATTCATTTCATAGTCAATTAAGCTAAAAAATCAACTATATTAATGGAATTGAACGGAAAAGGATATACACGGCGCCACCTAGCGATAGTTTATGAGAACTAATGAAACTGCAGTTTCAAAAGTGTGTACTTCACCCTGTTCGCCGGAGAGATGGCGCCACCAGTTCAATTTTCATAAAAATGCAATTAACATTGATTTTATTGATTAATATGTCTACTAATATTGATCTAACATTAATATCAATATTAATATAAATATTGGTCTAATATTAAATCGAAAAAGTCATTTTTTAAAATAAAGTTTGAAATTTCCCGTCATTGCGTCATCAATATTTTGATTCAAACTTCAAGTAACCCCAACTTCAAGTTGTTCAGAAGGTTTTGTTAACAAATTAAGGCTCCTCTGCTGAGTACAAAGAAGGCGTTTTTGAACAGAAAAATATAATCTACTGTTGTTGTTCTATTAATATATTTAAATACGTAATGTCGACGAAATCCTCCGTCGATTTGCGAGCTGAGCTCGCTGAACTAGTTAAACGAAAAGCGGAAATAGCTGTGAGTATGAAAGCATCTGTCAGATTGTGTTTTTATTGTTTTTTTTTTATATATTCCTATTTGCATTTGAACAGCATACCTAGGACGATTAATATCATCGTTAACACAAAACTTAGTTACCTTTAACAATTAGTGCTCTTACGAAAGGTCTAGAAAGTCAAATAGTTTGTACCACAGTTTAGAGGTTATGTTAACCTTTCAGATACCTTTAGATCATTCTTTGTATTAATTAAAACTCTTTTTCCATCGACTTTTTGCTATTGTTTATCACATACTCGCATTCTTCTCGTTATAATATGTAGTATAAGAACTGTTTAAATCATTTTAAACTGTTGAAATATAACCCTAGTCCTCTTTCACTTTCAGCTGTGAATATACCAATTAATATCTTTTTGAAAATGTCACAGATATCTGTATTAAGTATTGTTTTTTCAAGAGCGTGGAATAGTATTTTTGTCACTAATGTCTGTATAAAATGTCATGAAATAAAAACTTATACACGTAAAAACTGTTAACTTTTTACCTTATGATGCTATGTATATACAGTTATGTAGAAATTAAAGTCTTGCTAGATATTTTTTTACATGAATATGCACTCATACAAAAATATTTTACTGTTTATTTTTAATTTTGTTGAATGTTGCTTATGATGTTTTATAATTTACCAGGACACTCTTGCAAATTTAGAACGTCAAATATATGCCTTTGAGGGTAGTTATCTGGAGGATACACAATTGTATGGTAACATAATACGTGGATGGGATAGATATTTGGCTAGTAACAAAAATACCAATAGTAAAGCAGACAAACGTAATAGGAAATTTAAAGAAGCAGAAAGACTTTTCTCAAAATCATCTATCACGTCTATGGCAGTAAGTAATCAATTAATTAACTCTGAATTGAACCCAGTTTAATCACACCAATATATCTGTAGAAATATAAAATTCGATTGTATTGTAAACTCTATAAGAACTTGTATTAATTTCATAAATATTAGGATATCTTTTATATCCAAAAGAAGCACAGTTTTAATAAATATAAAATTAAATATTTGCAGGCTGTCAGTGGACTTGTTGAAAATACCCAGGAAAAAAGTAAGGACCTCAATGGATATTCCTGAGATAGTTGATTCTTTAAAAGATAAAAAAGAGAGAATACAATTTATTTTTCATCCTATCATCCTTTCCAACTTTTCTTTTGAACCTCTCCTTAGAAAACAATTCTTTTTATTTGCTAAGTTATCTTGGATTGTGTTTCTTCATCTTCTCAATGTTTCAATCATACTGTCTTCCAAAACATTGTAATAAATATGGAATGTTGTGAAGCACGATCGGATGAATGAACAGATAGATTCAAAGAATTATTCGTTAATATTTTGAGTTCTTTTTTTTCTATATTTAATTTATGAGTAGATTTTAATTTATTTTTTTTGCTTAGTCTATGTTTATGATAATTTATTTCAAATTTTTTAGAAGAAACTTAGTGTAGCACTATAAATGTTGATTTTTCTTTATTTGTTTTCGTTCATGTTTATCTGTTTCTGTATCTAATTATGAATAAATTCAACATCTATTTCTTTTACGAATCTCGAGGTTCCGTGAAAAATTTATTTCTCGATTCAATAATTCTGTCTGCTATGTTGCTTTCTTCTACGTGTATGTCAGTAGTAAGTTTGTAATGTATGCTTTTCTTGTACACATTGAAAATGTAGAAAACATTAGCTTGGCATTGTTACTTTATTTTCTAGATTTATCTTTCCTCTGTATCTGAGCTTGAAATAAATTCATGTTTTCTATATTATTGTGGATGTAACAGAAAAGTTTCTTTTATATTCTCAAACAGTTACTTTTTTTAAGTCGACAGTAAATGTGTTTAAAACAATGATATAATCAGATATAATTACTTCACTCTAAAGGGTTTTACCAGTGACATGTTTTCTTTTTAGTTTGATAAAAATCATATCAACTGATAGTACACATTCATGTGTTTGCTTTTAGGTAGTATTTTTAAATTACAGGAAATTACATGAAAACATAGATCTTGATCGATTAAACTATAGAAAATGTCTAAATCTCTTTATCTGAAGGGAAACTTCCCAGGCAACATAAATGTAATAAGACTGTATACTTGGAAAAAAATATTGTTTTTAACGTTTCTTAATACCTGATAAGCCACTAATCTTTGAGTCTTGATAATCGTTTAATCGATCAAACAACGATCATCTTCACAAAAACGTGAGGCGCTTAAATAACCACTGATCAATCAATCAAACTACAACCGGAAATGTCGAACAGTCGTCGATCAAGGGTCGAGGATCGCGGTTCTCCCATTCTAAACTTGATTCCAGTTGACCGGTACAGCGAGTCGGAGTCACAGATTGGCAACAGTGGTAGCGAAGACAATTGCAGCCTCGTTAATTCTCATGGAACAACCCACAATAGTAGTAGCAGCAATGGTAATAAGGAGTCAAGCGGAAAAAACCATTCTTTATCTGGCCAGTATAATCAGAATGGATCTCTCACATCTTCCACTGAAATTTCTGGACAATTTGCAAATGGACATGCAAGTAATGGCAGCCTCGAGCATGTCTCGTTGAAGGAGAACACTGGAAAAGAACCGTCAAAAAATAAATCTGGGAACAGTGCTAAAAAAAATAGCAACAAAAGATCTAGGAATAGGTAGAATACCCTCAAACTGTTATCATCACTTAACGGGCCATCTGAGCATGATTGAATGAACTTGTTTCTTTATGTCTCACTCGACCTTATCAATGTACAAGATCTCACTGTTTTTTTACCATAAATGCACCGTGAACATTGATTTTCGATGAAAAGGTGAAGAACATTAAAGGCTTTTACGTTAGCAATAGGAATGTTAGGATTATTTAGAAGATAAAGGCTTGAACGATGGAGGATGTTGACCAGTTTACCATCATCGTACAACTATTCTTTTTGGTCTAATATTTAAGAATAAACATGATAAGTTAAGAGGCAATGAATATAGTATTATACGAGACTAATAGTTAGGGATAAAGAATTAAACATTAAGATCTTGCAAATTTATATTAGTCAGTTGAACAATGTCTAATTAGATTTAAAATTAGAATCATATTATTTTTTGTATCTCTTTTCTTTTGTGACAAATACAGAATACGTTGCCAGGGATTAGAATTAGTTTTATACAATTGATCTGTTCAAGTATTATCATGCAGCTTTTAGTTTTAAATTTATGAACTTAGGCAGTACTTTGGATTACTCATTTTATTTCTTTTGTATAAAGTTCTTTGTTCTATCTTAATGTAAAATACAAAGAAAATAGGATACCGAAGTTCATAGTTGTAATAAAGATAGAATAACAATTGCACAAGGAAGTGAAGTTACATGAAGTTTAAACTTTTGTTTTTAATAACGAATAACTAACGTAATCGACTAATACAACGGACGAAATGTTAATTCACTTGTCCTTTCTTAACATACATATTTATTTTTAGCAGTATTATATTTTAATACAGGTTTTTTCTTTGTAATCTTTAATTGTCCATAACTGTAAAATTGAAGTTTTAAAGTAAACCTTATAAAAAATTGAAAAAAATATTTTTTGTATCCACTATATTTAAATAAAATATTGTTAATAAAGAAATCGATCTTTATTTCATGCTTCTCTACATAAGTTAGAACTACTAGTGTTGAACCTCATGAAAAGAGGAAATTGAAATGCGTTGAAAATGGTCATAGAATTAGCGTGTTAGCGTGTTTGCACACGTGTTCCAAATATGTCATCTGTCAACAAAGTGGGCAGTAATAACTGTTTGTATAATATATTGCGCATTTTCACTTTCTCCGCGTTAACAAATCTCTTCACTCTTCACAAAAGGTTCAACAATTCGCATGGAAGAAAAATGGTGGAAACGCTTCACGGAGTAATTGATTTGCCTCTAATGAGGTTCAGGAAGAATCGTAGCCGGTAGAAATCTTTTCACATTAACGTCTTGCCTCGCATTCTTCGGAGGCTCGTTCCTTGTTACGACAGCATTAAAGCCATTATGGTCATCAGCCGTGTAGGTGACTGTTCTAATCGACCCATCTGCCTCGACGACAGAATATTCGCCTTTTACGGTGTCTCCATCCCTTTCTTCCCATGCTGACTTCGAATCCCCCGTGTATCCATCCAGGACACCGTAATTGAACGAGTATCTCGGATATGCCTGCACAGAAATGTACTTTGGTATTCTCACGGTGAATGTTCATGCATTTATGCGTGTAAAGTGTAACAAAATATAAATATTTTTCCACGGTAAATTACCGTAAATTCTGCCTCTTTCTCGCCTTTTGGCTCGGTTGCAACAACAGCCGAGGCCGTTTTAAAAATTGGCGGCGCTATGTACACCAATGATGAAGTCTTCGGCAGTGGCCTATACGAGATCGGAGTGTTGACCTTGACGTAAGTCGGAAGTGCCGGTTCTGCTTTACTTCCGATAGCTTTGAGGGCACAAGCCACCGGTACCGCGGCACCGTTCGCAGAAATTACATCAACCGGCGCACAAGGAAATCTTCTGTGAACAATATTCATAAACCGTATAAAAATATTGTAAATACTAATTACTACCACATTTAATTATGTAGTCTTACTGTTGAAGAACACCAGCGACGATTAGCTTCAAGAAGCAGCACAAAATCACAATCTAGAAGAAACGGAATTTTTATCAGACCGGTAATTCAAGTAGAAAAAGTATATTTTTAAACTTCTTAAGTTTAGGAATATCTAAGAATGGTAAGAATGAATGCCTTCTTTCAATGTTTCTCACACTTCATAATTCATTGTGTTGCAAATTCGATTAATTACGTTTGAAATATTAACGGTAAATTATAAAGAAGGATTCAATGATCTATTGCGCATGCGTGCACCAGATTCTCTTGCGCAATATCTCTTATGGCTCTCCCAAGGAGTGGCAATATACAGAGTGTCCCAAACCGAGTATTATTGCCGCGAAAATTGATACTTTAAGACAAAACAGATACAAAGCATTTTTTTCATGTAATTTTACTTAATTTTCAAGAACAATTTTGCAAATTGGTGGATTAAATTTATACTCTACTCAGTCTACCATAAATTGTTGCTAAAATATAAATAAAAATTTTACTTTATAATTATTTATTAATCTGACAGTAAAATTTTTAAACCAACCTTATCAGTAATGCTTATAGAAAACTGTAACTGCATGATGCGAACACTATATATATCACAATTAATTGAAAATACACTAAAAATACACTTCTTCAATGTCCCTTTTGTAGATCATTTATCGAGATCAATTATATATAAAAAATTACATCTTAACAAGTACTTTAAAATATTTGTTTAAGAAAAGAATTCACTTGTGATTTATGAGCGAACTTTACGTAAATTTTGAAGGGAATCTAACGAAACTTTCACGACGGTCCTGCGAAGAATAGAACATCTGCATCCAGCTCATCCTTATATACGACGCATACAGGGTGATCCTAAGAATCTTTGAGCCATCCTCTATTGGGTAGAATATAGAAGTATCCAAAGTTGATTCTACAACATGGCAACCGAGTATGTCCGATTTTTGCCGAGTCGATTCAAAGTTCACTCTGATGTCTTGTGAACGTGAACGACATAGTTCACCATTTTCTTCAAATGTACAACTCCTAGCTGAAGTCTCTATTGTCTATTTCCTAAAGTCCTAAATAATCTGTGAACATATTACTTGATTAATATAGTCGTTTTGATTAAATCTTGTGTGGTATGATTCAAACTTTTCAGTTACCCGGTATATACGAGAACGTTCACTTACATTTTTTGGGTCCTCCTTGATATATCGGGGGATGCGCAACGTGAAGGCGTGGGAACGTCATCACCTGTGCCGATGTGCCTCAGCTTCTGATACAATAGCGACAAATCACTTGTAATCTAGTATTAATTAGAAAATAAAAAAATTGGAATATTTAATGATGGTATTCGTTGAACAACTTTCTCTGTAACACCTGCGTTAAAACGAACGTGGAGGTCACCTGTGATCGCCATAAAAAATCGATGCATCATAATGAAACATCTGAAAGAAAATTAGATGTCACATTAATGTTACATTAATATAACTATTCATAAAATAAATGTATTACCTTTATGTGAGGCACAATATTTATTATTTTATATCTTCAATCAAGATTTTAATATTTCCTTTTCGCTGAAATAAAGTATGTGTCACGAATAAGCATAAATTATAATCAGAGGAAAATTATGACTAAGAACCACTGTTACAATCTAATATACGTAACCTCTCGAACTCTATTCATTTCTTCTCTTATGCAATGGCTGTTTAAGGAAGAATTCAAGAATTTGCCTCTTTGTATTATGCATTGACTATTGTCTGCAATTATCGTATAATTCAGCGTTTCTCATTGCTCAATTTAAAACTAATAATAAAGGTGATTGTTGTAACTATAAATGTTTTATTAAATATTTCAAGTATTATACGTTAAAATATTTAATAAATATAAAAAACAATGACAATATTTAATTTTCTTATCAGAAGAAAAATTAACAGGAAGTTAATATAGTATTAGTTATTAGTACCCTGTAAAATAAGATGATGGAAAAGGGACTAAAAGTATCAATTTTAAGAAAATTTATTTATTCATTATCATGACTTTCCTCGGCTTTATTTAACAGTTCCGCCTTTTTTCGGCAATCCTCGATCTGTTCTTCCGTTACCGTTGGTTTTAGACCACATTCTATTTCTTCCTTCAAAATGAATGCTAATTTTTCGGCCTTTTCGACATAGAATTTCTTCTGCTCTTCTTTTAATTCAACTTTGAAAGCATCAATTTTCTTCTGAATAATATCATTGCAAAACTCCTCTGTCACCTTCCTCAATGATGTTTTTCTTGTTACTGGTCCAAGTTTCCTGGGAAATAGCAATAACAATATGTTATTGCACCAAGACCTTTATTGTTAATCCATATTAGATAAATATCTTACTGTGGCAGATTTTTATGCACAAGGTTCAGTTGTTCAAGGACCCACTCATATCGTGGATAATCCCAAGAGCGTAAATGCCTAAGGTACTTTGCTCTTTTCTCAATTAATTCTTTGAGGGTTGTTTTAGCTTGTCCATTTCTTGGTTGTTCCTTCACGTAATTTTGAAGATCATGTATTGCACTAGTCATTCCTGCAACTAAGAAAATTTATTTATTCATAAAAATTTGTATGTACTATTTGTAAAATTATAAATAGGACTAATGATATTAATACTTTCACTTGTACACATACTTTTAACTTCTGTAGAACCTCCGTCACAGACGTGTCGCTTTACTAAAGCCATTACTTTGTTGTTCTTTAGCCTATTAGTTTCTTTCTTTCGTTGAAACTCCAAAGTAAACATCTTTTTCACTATATCATCTGCACTATATCAATGATCAAATAATGCATAATAAACTACTCTCTCCTTAACTAACATACATATATTTCCTAACTTTTACAGTAAGTTTACTTTACGGTAGTTCTACTTACTCTTGTAATTCTTTTGATTTCTCAAAACGCAATTTAAATTCATTGGGTTTTGCAGTTATATCTAATCCTAAATCTCCACTTTGTTTAGGATCTGAGAAAGGAACTTTTTTTGGACGTTCCCATTTAAGTTTGTAATTCTCTACAACAGTTGTGGAATTGCATTTTACATAACCTCCAAGCATGTAAACATTCTTTATTGCTGCACCGAATGATCTACAACTAATTGCTAAACTCATTTTAGCTGACGAATATTGAAATCAATACAAAATTCGAAACAATTGCAGTGTCAATTGTTAGAAACGTTACAATAACTGTTACAATTATTAGCAGTGTAACCTGCCCTCATAAAAAAAGCGCTGGTGCAGAAGCAGGAAGCATATGATGTTAAATTCAAATTCCATGGCGCCAAATACAAACTGAATGTTTTGAATCAGATATCATGTCTTTATAATAATAAAGTTGGAGCAAGTATGGAGTATCGGCATTTGTCAAAAATATATGTTTATTTTTTTATTTATATTGATCTACAGTTTTGAAATTCTATTAAATATTTATACAGCGTTAGATTAACGAAACATAACATTTAAATTCAGTCTGTAATAAATTTCTATACTATGAGGTATAAACAATAAAAATTATATTAATAGGAAATTGTTTTTATGTATCAATTCTGCCTACAATTTCGAACCACTGTCGCAGAGCGTCGCTTAACACAACGGGCAAAGAGTCTAAATCCCGGAGAATAATATAAAACGGAAATGGGAAATTATCCATGTAGGAACGTATGCCTAATAGTTTTCCATTTTCAAAAATTGGCATCCTTATATCAAGTATTGAATCCTGAAAGAAAAATTGATACTTAGAAAATTTATAATACATATTTTCTAACATATTTTCAAGGTAGTTACCTTATTGAGAGGATTGTCGACTATTATAAAAACAAGAAAAATGTTCAATAATTTGCTTTTCCTCACAGCTGCAGTTACTTTTTCTATCCCTTCCGAAAATATTCCTCTACCATCTGATAAGATGGCTACTAACTTTGCGTTATCAGAACTACTCTGAGATGTGAACATCTTTATTGTAAAGTCAAGTAACTGACCAATCATTGTCTTCTTTTGTTCAAATTTCATTTGCTGAATTAATCTGTAACATAAATTCAAATTAAGTCTCTTCAGTACACAACAAAATACTAACACTAATTGAAAGCAAAAATTCCAATTTGCTTGCCTGGCACCACTTTCTTCGGTAAAGTTTTCCCCGAAAGGATGTAGAATATTGACTTGTTCTCCAAAATTAATAACAGCAAGCTGACCAACCTCTAAATAAGTCATAGCCTTGCCAATTAACGAGAGGGACTCAAATGCTAATTCCTTTGAATGATTATCAGCCATACTACTAGAATCATCTATTGCCAACACTATTTGGTAATCTCTTTTTGATGGTTTGGTACGTCTCAGCCAAATTTTGTCTTTACGGAACTCACTGGCAATATATGGAATTACTTTCCTCATATTTATACGTCTGCCAGTTCTATAATCACCCTTCAACCTAGAGGTTAATGTTGGTTCCAGCACTAGCCGTAACTTTTCTGACAGTTCTCTTGCAGCTGATTCAGTCAACGCACTTATTGAACTCCAGGCATTTGCTGCTTCTATGGAAGATGGTTCTCGAGACCACTGTCCAAGCATACTTTCAATCTCAGACCTCTTTTGTGCTATGTTATCCATTGAGACATCATAAATCTCTGTTTCTGGCAGTTTTGTGTGAATGGTTGACTCGTTTCCTCGCAGAACACGAGTTGTTTCTACTACTTCACCTTCAACTTCACCTCCCACTTCCATTTGTTCCACATCATCTGTTTTTTCTCCTCTAACATTTGTAGATTTGTCTTTCTTGCTTTCAGGTACCTTTTGAGCATGTTCCTTATTCGTTACTTCATCTTGATCTTCTGTTATTGGGTCTTCGTGCATTTTAATATCATCATCTTCTAGTTTGTCATCAGGATCCTTTTCGTCTTCGAAGTTTGATGCCTGTTTTTTAACCTGGTCTTCAGTTGCAGCATCAAATACGTAATCGTCAAACTTCTCTGTGTTCTTAATATGTTCGTAGACTTCACTTTCACCACCAACCTCGTTACTCTCTTTTTCTTCGCTGTTATCTACTTCTTGACGCGTTGGTGCAGTTTTCATTTTCTTCATGGAAGGTTGAAGTTCATCAAGCAAGCTACGATTTTCATCACTTTGACCGGGTTTTCTTCGCTTCTGAATAGGTTTCGTAGACTTGTCTTCACCCGAAATGGGTGCATTCTCTTCCTGTTTGGACCCAGAATGCCCCTCACGCTTTTCCGTTTGTGACTGACCAGTTCCTTTATCTTTTTTGTCATCTGTAATATTATCTGTAGAGCTTTCCATCTCTTTTTCGTTTGACTGACTTTCTACTGCATCTCTAGAACCGTCCTTCCTTGATTCAACTTCTTGCGAAGCATCAACTTCTTTGCTACCTGCATCAACACTTGCTCGAGCTTTGTCTTCTTCTATTTCTTTTTCTTCCTCCATATTCTGTTCCTCTACATCATCTTTTTTATCTTCTTCAATGTTCGTATCTTCTTTATCTCTTCTTTTGTCAGGATCCATGTTTGGATCTTCTTCCATTTCATCGTCTTCACTAGCAGAGTCTTGTTGCTCGCCTTCGCCCTGATCTTCTTCTTTTTCAGGTTCCTCTTCTTTGTCTTCGGGCACTTTCGATTCCTTCATCTCATCGATGTCGAACGGATTCTCTTCATTTTCAGGATTATCTTCCTTCATGTCTTCATCCAAATTTATATCTTCTGGGAGATCAAAAGGTTCTGGCTCGATTTCTGGTTGCTGTTTTCCATGATAAGGATCTATCTGATCGTCGTTCACATCAGGTTCTTCGAATTCGTTAATGTCCTTCTTTTCTTCTTCTTTTCTTTGATCATTGCTCTCTCCTTCTTGGTCCTCGCTCTCATTCTTGTTCTCGTCATCCTTTGCACCTAGTTCTTCTTGTCCAGTTTTCTCACCAGTTCCTTTCTCTTCTTTATTTTGTTCATTCTGATCGTCGTTTTCTTCCTCCTCTTCTTCATCTTTCCAAATTTCTTCATCTAGCTTCTCTGCATTTTCATCAGTGTCACCCATTTCTTTATCAAGGTCCTCTTCTTCGTCCTTCTGTTCATCTTCCTCGTCTTGGTCCATATTTTGTAAATGGCTCTCAAAGTTTTCTGACATTTCAATGCCTTTTTCTTCTTCTTTCATGTCTTTTTTGTCATCGTCTTTTTCTTCTTCGTTTGGACCTCTTGCTTCTTCTAATTGATCCTCTGTTTCTATTTTGTCTGAAACATCTTTCTGACCTTCTCCTTCAGCCAGACCCATTCCACCTTCAACTGTACTACCTTCTTCATTGTCCTCAGAGGCCTCTGTCATTTCTGGTTGGCAGAAACCATTTGCTGCCAAATCCAAGAAGACGTTCAGTTGAAGATAAAGGAATTTACAGGTGAGACGGAAAGATGCCACCTGTTCATGCAAGTAGTAATGAAGGAACAAGATATATTGCTCCAGAAGGGGTAAATGTTGCAAAAGTAACCTAAAAAAAAATAATAAATTTAGAACAAAATATTGAGAAAATATAATTTAAGATATCAATTAAAATTTACCTTATGCACTTATTTGCAGACTTAGCATCACATTCAAAAATAATTTGTAACAATTCCCCAAATAACCTAGATACTGTTTTCAGTCGCAAATTTGAAATATTCTTTTTTAGTGATTCTATTAACTTCTCAGTCATAACATTTTCTTCAAAATCTTCTTCAACTTTTTCTGGATCTACAGTTTCTTCGCTTGATGTCTGCATATCTTGAAGCTTCTTTTGAATGACAAGAAGCATTTGTGTAATTAAGGTATCACATTTCTTCTCATATTCCTCCACATTTCCAGATTCATCCTCTTCAATTACTGTACACGTTGATTTAAATAAGTTATTACTCTCATCAATTTTATCTATTAAGAAGTTCAAATTTTCAGCAATAGGATGATCAGCTGTGAAGGTAATTGCAACATCAACTAATTTCTTCTTAATTTCTGTGATTTTCTGATAACTTGCTTGGAGGAAATTCACGTGTCTTTGATGATACAAGAAAATCTGACCTGACTTCTCAATCTTTCTTGAAATCATAATCCATGAGTGCAACTCTCTTGTCATATTTTTTATCAAGTCTAAAGACGTCTGCATCATAGCAACTGAATTTCTAGAAACATTGCTCTCTCTCAGAACAGGTACCATGGTTTCATTTAAATCAAGAAGATTCTCATCTGCGAGGGACTCTGTTGGACAACTTTCCAAAAATATGAGAATCTGTTTTACAGATATTTGTAATGTTTCCAACAATTCTTGGAAGTTGATCATGGCAGCCTGCAAGCCTTTTTGTTTTGGAATATTCATTTCTTCTGACATATTCTTGTCTGTTACCTTTAAAATTTCTACCAGCTGTGAGAAATCAGTGATTCCTGCAGCTTTAGCAGTTTCCAAAATCCTTTTAATTTCACCAAAATCTAAAATTCCTACAGACTTTGCAAATTCAAGAACCTCTTTTACCTCCATTAAATTTTCAACCGATTCTTCTGTTGTTTTTAGACTTTCTAAAAATACAGAGATATCTGAGATCTTTGTGTTTCTTACAAATTCCAACACTTGTACAATTTTTACAGAATCAGTTACTTTGGCAAGCTTGAAAGATGCTGTAACATTTGAGATGCTTTTAACATCTCTCTTCTTTGAGTCCTCCATCATCTGCATTAGGTTTGATATTTGAATTCTGAGTGGAAGAAAATGCTCAAAGAAGTTGGCAATTGTTTCCTTCTGTCGATGAGCTAACAAAGCAAGATGAACTGAAAGTCCACGACAACGTTCAGCGTTTTGCATTCCAAGGTCGCTTTTCCCTGAATTCAAGATACCATCCAGGAAATTCAATTTGATCAATGATTCATAATAATACTTATCACAGCTGGACCACTGTTCAAGCAGTCCTTTCTCAATGTTTTCTCCCCTGCTTCCTTTAATCAATCTGAATTTCTCAATTTCTTTCAAATCCACAGGAGTAACAGCAAAATTGTTGATTTCACTTTTTCTGTTTTTCCAAGTCAGAACCCCAATTCTGTAAGAAATCCCTAGTCGACTCAACGTTTTGAAATAATTTGCCAGTAACATCTTCTTCTGCTGGAGCATGCTCTTCAACTGCGACTGCTGTTTGCCTTTACTCAAGGTCTTATCTACTTCCAAGTTTCTTAACCTCTTGCTTTCTTCCACCGAGTCTTCAATGAAAGACTCAATGTCTTTTCGAATTTCTGAATAGTTGCTCTTCACAATGATGTTCTCACAAAACTGAGAAGCCTTACGAGTTAGCTTTTCAAACTTCTTCAACTTCTTGGCTTCAAGGTCAACTAAGAACTCAGATGGACCAAGCTCTCTTCTTGTACTTGGCTCTGTTTCTGTTTTAGTTTTTAAGGTCAAATAAGATGCAACATTTTCTCGCAGACATTTTTGAAGTTCCTTCACAAACTTGTGCAAGGTCCTCCGTGACTTCTCTGCGGTGTTCTTTACAGACCAATAGCTTATGTCGTTCCATCTGGTGATTTTGATGGTGTCTTTTAACTTTTTAGCAATGGGTTCCTTAAGTAGTTTAATCTTGTTCTGAACATCATTCAGGAACTGGCTGTAGTAGAAGTAAACGTTCCAGAAAATTGAAGACAGTTCCTTCTGCCTCTCAGTCTTTTTGAAGTAGGAGACGTGGCAATAAAAGAGATAGACCAATTGAAGTCTTGTTTCAAACTCTATCAAAGGTGATTCTGTTAGAAAACGTCCCAAATTCTCTATGACTTTCTCCTTTGAAATATTATCAGCTGATTCTTCTGCTGGTTCTTCAACCATTGTTTCTTCAGTATCTGTAAGATACTGATCAACTAAATCAAACAAGAAGAACCACCATTTTGAAGCCTCTGTCTTTAACTGATCCTCAAGGACTTCCAAAGAATCTTTCCACCTTGAAATCTCAAGTTTCCTCCAATGCAGAATTTTCTCCCCAAAAAGTTCAATGAATTCTGATAAGCTAACACTGGAATGAGCATTCTCTTCCCACTGTTGTATCTTTGTCAGCAGTAACTCGGTGCCAACTAAGTATCTGGATAAGGAAGAGTCGATAGAGAAGCTAAATATTCTGTCCACGATCAATTTGATTGAAATTAATATAGGATTTTCAGGCCACTCTTGTAACAGTTCATTGATTCTCTTCAAAAGTTTATCAAACAACACTTGAGATTCTTCAACCTCTCTAATATTTGGATCTCTATAAAAATCATATACTTTATTGTCTTTTCTGTTATCAAAGCCTGATTTCTGTGAAATTAATACATTTAAGCTGCATATCAATTTTGATGATTGATCCTCTGAACATGTCTTCACTGTAGAACCCAGAGTTTCAAATCTTTGGGCTAATGGTTCAATGAAATTTGGTTCCAAACTTTCTGATTTCTTGAGATCTTTTACTGGAACTTTATTTGAATTTCTCAAGATGTTCCAATGTATCTCTTGAATTCTTCTGGCATCTCTTGTAGATATCAGCTCAGTGAATGACTCCTCATTCTGCATAATTTGTGGGATTCTCTGGAGCTCTGGGAACTCTTGATACCCTGGGAACATTTCAGCCAGCTCCAGGAAGTCTTGTTGGAATCCTGGGAACATTCTCTTATAATCCAATTCATCCTCTTCTTTAGAGTCAAATTTTGTCTTGAAGAGGCTCTGTTTTTCTTTCATTTCTTCTTCTCTGCGCTTCTCCTGCTCCTTCCAGAGGACTCTGAACTTGAAGAAGATCTTGTACAACTCGTCCCAGAACGATTCCACACGATCCACAGCAATCAGAGATAAATTTTCTAGCTCCTTTAGCGCTATGTTAGCCATCTTGAATCTGTCTTTTGGAACGGATTCTGACTTTGACTGTTCAGTGAGGATGAAAATCAGCTTTTCAGAAGAGCAAAGCTTTACCAAGTTTACATAGTTCTGCTGGCAAATGTTGGCAACAGGGAAACGCAGCAAATTGTAACAAATATCACTGTTAGAAGTTTGAGGCTGCATGATTGATAGCTCGTGGATCAGAATTGATATTCCATGATGCAAATTTGAAATTGCAGAGATCATAGGTGAAACTAGATCAGGGAAACCGTTCAGGAAATTCTTCTCCAACTTTCCAACGAACCTTTCCAACGATTTCTTCCAGATCATTGCCTCGTGCAGCTTTTCTTGACTTTGGCTGATGCACTCTTTTCTGTTTGATTTCTCAGCCATGCTGTTTAAGAGTTGTACGTGTTTGAAGATCGATTCAAAGGAGGCAATGTTCCTCGAGAAATGTTCAATGTCTTCCCTCAAATTTTGGAAACTCAACGTTGGTCTCACTGCTTGGAAATCTTCAAAACTTTTCATCTCATTGGACGACTGTTCTAAACGATTGATTCTTGATTGCTTTCTTTCCTTCGATAAACTGATTCCTAGGATACTGCACTGTAGACTTTCGATGGACATCAAAAGTTCGAGGTCGGAAATATTTTCTCGGATGTACTTTGATTTTAGTGCTACTTTCTGAACTGGATCAATGGATCCCAGATCGTGGAAGAGGAAGATTTGTAAATGACCAAGTATCAACCAACCTTTGGCTCTTTCTATAACATTATTGCTACTTTGCAAATTTTCTTTTATTTCTAACAATAATTTCATTGGTTCAAAGAAACGTTTCTTCAGATCATTTTGATCTTCTTCGTTTAAGGTTAATGCAAAAGCATTTGTTACTTTGTTGATGGCAGATGTGTAATAATTTATGTAAAATTCTAGTAGAACCGAGTCATTTATGGATATTTTGAATTCATCTGAATTTAACACTAAAGAATTTTTCCATAATAGAGTTTGAATAATTGTCAGGAGCCTCTTTTGGTTCTTGTGGTTTCCAAAGTTGATTGCCTCCCTCCGGTGTACAGAACTTGTCAGGAATAATTGACAGATCAAGTTGCAAAGCGTTGACTTGTCAACAAAATTTGGCTGAAAGAAAATAACATATTTAGTTTTGATAAAATATAAATAACTCAAGGATCTTAGAATTATGCAACAAAGAAAGATGAAATGGAGTAGAATGGATAAGGTTATGTTAACAGAAGAAATGATAAAACGAGTTATAGAATTACAAATAATACCTCAAAAATGTTCAAACTGTCTTCCTCATTTGCTTCCCTCTGATAGTACCAATGTAAAAGCACATCTGAATTCTTTACAGCAAAAGACTGTTCAGAAAATTCTTCAATGGAAGAAAATAATTTAGGAAACAAAGAGAGTCTTTGCTTAGGCAAAGTTTCATCAGAATTCAAAGCTTTTATTAAACCAATAAGATGTATTGGTATCGTTGGAATTGCTGCAAACTTTTGGAAAATATTTTCCTCATAAATTCTTCCCAAATTTTCATTAGCATGACTAATTTGTTGGTTAAGTTCTTCGCAAAGTTTCCTCTGGAAACGATACGTGAAAAGTAAAAAGAAAAATTCATAAATGGGCCAGATCTCAATTTCTGTTGAACTGTCCTTCATCCGAATATCATTTTCATCAATTTCTTTGAGCTCTATGATTCTTCCAGCAACTTCATCGACTTCTAGCAATGCTTCAGCCTTTTCAGTTTTATCGTTTTTGAAATTCTTGACACAAATGTTAATTAAGTCTTCTCGAGCAGTTAAATTTTCTTCCAGTGCTATGGACACGATTTTCAATCGCGTTTTTGAGATATCTACCAGGTTTTCTTCGGTGACTTCCAGTTTCTTCAAAACCGATCGCAATTTTTCGTGAAAAGTCATCGAATCTTCAGAAAAATGTGGCGATGGAAGCAATAGAAGTTTCTTAATTTTCCTTCGAATTTTCCCAAACTTATCCACATCGACTACCACGTTCAAAAATTTCTTCGAAAAGTCTGTTATTTCTTTTTCCACGTTCGGTTCGCAGACTTTTGTATCGAGAAGCGCAAAGAGTTTGTTGAAAAACTTTGTGAGCCACTTGTAGTGGACCTTCAATGACGAAGAGATTTCTCGTAGATCAAAAAATGTACCTTTTGACTTGTTAATTAATTCGATCTTTCCTAAATTACAAAATCTTTTATACCATTTCAAATCTTCGCGCAATTTAATGTACAGTTTATCATCTATCGATAAGTTACCGACGTGAAGCACTGTGTTAATAATCTTTGCAGATTGTTCGATCAGTTCCATGAATTTTAGAATTAGTGGCTCGTTCTTTAGGTTTGATGACAGTTTTCCTGAAAAAAGGAAATTGAGTTAGGTACTTTTGAAGGAATTATTAAATGAAAGTTATAGATATATTTATGGAGAAGTTACAGAGAAGAAAAGACATAGGAAGGTCCTCCATTTTAGGACTGTTGAATTTTTGAATTGTGTTTTAATTTGGGACACTGGGAGTTAACAATTTTTGGAATTGTGAGATGTGGGGTCTTTATTATTTTCCTTTATAATTTCCCTCAACTGTAGAGAGGCTGTTATTCAAAACAGTACAAAAGAAGAGAAGCAATATACTGAAGAGGTTAGTTTATGTTAATTCACCGTTAGATGGCAGCAACTAGCTGGCTAGATATTATTTTCACAAACATAATTAATAACTTTGCTTCAACTGTACTATTGAATATGCAAATATAAAAGAAAACAATTCCACATATACTGTAAATTTGTTTAAACTCACCTGAACAAACAGCAGAAGAGTATTCCTTCAAACACATAATATTCTTCTTCTTCTGAGAATCTCCATTGCTCTGGCAGTTAAAGACAATTGATTGAAAGTACAACGCAATAGCTAAATTGTTTAACAAAGTCATCGGTTCAGTCAGACTTAATGGAATATCTGAATTCTTTTCAAATAAGGACTTCAGAGATTCAACTTCTTTGTTCAGCCATTCATTCAACTGTCCAAACTGAGTCAATTGATTATCTGAGAAGATATTTGTACTCCACATGTGCCTGATAGGTAAATCTTCCAAAGAGGTTTGTTCATAGAAATCTAGTAGAAGACTTTGGAGAAATGCAGTGGTGTTTGTGATGGGAGGTTGATTGAAGAGGTCCTGCAGATCGATGCTTGAATTGTTTCTGAAAAAGAAGAAATTGGGAATTAGTAAATAGTGGACTTGGAGATGTGGGGGTTTGAAAATATTCTAACTTCTAAACATACTTAAATTTCTCCACAGCAGTCCTCAGAAGAAATCCCTGTTGCCTGACCATCGCCAATCCCGCATTTCTCCTCACATCACATATCCTCAAAGTCAACGCATCCAAATCACAAAAGCAAGTCTCCTCCACCACACAATTCTCAGCTAAAATTTCATCGATTCTCCTCAAAGCTTCCTTCCTCGACCTCGAATCCAGCGTCCCACAGATTTCGCGATAAGAGTTTCTTAATGAATCCTCGAAAGCGAATCCTTTGGCAACCTGTTGACTGGTGAACGACGCAACTTGCACCATCTCGTTCAATTTGTACTGCTTATCGTACAAGCTTTCATGGATCTTGAAGAGCAGCTTTTGATGGTGCACTTTCCTTATGCCGCAATTATTCAGTAACGACGTTACGTCCAATGGATTACAAAGGAGGACATCTTGTGGTGTGGGTATACTTATCTCGACGCCCCTGTTGCGCATAGCTCTGAAACAGCGTCACAAGGGAAAATATAATAGAACATTATGACTTTTCTTATTATAATAGCCTCTTCTCTTAATGCTAAAGATAGAAATGTAGGACAAGTATTGAAGATGGTCATATAATGGTTGTGGAAGTTTTCTTCTTTGACGTGGTATTTTATGTGGTTTACAAGTGGTAGGTGAAGGGTACTTTAAACGGTAATATATATGGAGGTAATATAAGGAGAGATATGGGGAGGAAGCTTGTGAATTTAGGGATTTGAGGATTTATGGATTTGGGGACATGGAGATTTGGGGATTTATGGATTTGGAGACATAGAGATTTAGGGATTTATGGATTTGGAGACATAGAGATTTAGGGATTTATGGATTAGGAGACATGGAGATTTGGGGATTTATGGATTTGGTGACATGGAGATTTGGGGATTTATGGATTTGGGGGAAGTGGATATCAGTATTTAGGGAATTAGGAAAATAGGGATTTGGGAAAGTGGATATAGGGATTTAGGGAATTGGGAATATAGGGATTTGGAGACATGGAGATTTGGGGATTTATGGATTTGGTGACATGGAGATTTGGGGATTTATGGATTTGGGGGAAGTGGATATCAGTATTTAGGGAATTAGGAAAATAGGGATTTGGGAAAGTGAATATAGGGATTTAGAGAATTGGGAATATAGGGATTTGGAGACATGGGGATTTGGGGATTTATGGATTTGGGAACATGGAGATTTGTGGATTTATGGATTTGGGGACATGGAGATTTGGGGATTTATGGATTTGGGAACATGGAGATTTGGGGATTTATGCATTTGGGGGACATGGATATGGGTATTTAGGGAATTAGAAATATAGGGATTTGGGAAAGTGGATATAGGTATCTAAGGAATTTTCAATATAGGAACTTTCAAATATAAAAATGTAAAAACTTGAAGATTTAAGGAGTTTATACTTTGAGTACTCATGGACATTGAAAATTTGCTAACTTAGAAGCCTAGGGATTTTTTTATTTATAAACAAGGAACTCAAGGATTATGGACAATTTATAAATTAAAAAATCCTCTATCTCTAAATATTTCTACAATGATAAAAGATCATTCCTAGTTCCTTAGAAGTACTCGTCGAAATTGGCAATATAACGAGAGGCCATCTGCCCTACATGGTATAGAAATTCAATAAACCCCGTTAATAGTAACGTCGGCAATTATGGTCGCGCAATTTTCCTACATAACGACGCAAGCTCCTGAATAATTACGACTGCATGTCCAGCATAGTAATGTATTCGTTTTATCGACGAAACTTTTCATACTCCAACAGAATATGTGAAAGCGTAATGACCATTATATAATCCTCATTTCCCTTGTTTAGAAGCATTTAATGGTCCTTCAATTCCTCATTCAATAAATTTTACGGACCTCTTAAGTTTCATCATAAAACCTAAATTACATAACAAAATAAATGACATCAAAATTATATAACAATACATAAAAACATACGGCAATCAAACCAATAAATAAAATATACAAACTACAATAAAAGAAGATCATACTTAGCTTCAAGATCAACAAAGTGTCTCGCCAAATCTATAAACTGTCTCATCAAATTTATTCAAAACATACTGCGATAAGTAACTTAAATATTTTGCATTCACAAATAAATTTCAATAAAATAGTAGCTCAATGAATTAGGAAATTTTCGTGAATCACGAAAGGCAAGAAGTTTGCAAGCAGTTTTGAAAGTTTGTATAAGTTATGTGTAAAACAGCAGCGCAAGTATGATCAAGCTTGTAGCAGATAATTAGGTGACCCGCTTTCGGTCGGAACACCATGTACATTCATTACCTTGAGATCTCGCCGTAACGGGGGTCCATAATGAGGAACAGTCGGAAATTTCTGTGTGCTCTGACAGTGAACACATTTCCTTGCTCATCGACACCCTTCTCGCCGATCGTTAGAGCCCCGTTCGGTTCCAGGAGTCCATTTAATCGATCCAAAATTGCCGGACTGCAAAGATTCACATGGTCCAGTAACAACCATGTGCCATTCTGCAGACACTGCAAACAATAAAACGCCGTTACTTTCCTTCGATGCGTTGGCACGAATCGCGTTTCGTGATATTCGATTTTACGATGATATGTGGAAAAAGATAGGTGGCTTCGAATTGGGTAAAAGTCAGACAGGTGTGAAAATTGGGGCGAGTGGCGAATTTTGGTAATTAGTGCGTTCATGATTATTGATTCGAAGATGTGTCAGGTGATATATTGTTGGGATTTTTAGTTTGGGGATTTGTGGATTTGGGGACTTTAGGGTTTGGGGATTTAGGGATTTGGGGATTTAGGGAGTTGGGGGTTTAGGGATTTGGGGATTTTAGGGTTTGGGGATTGAGGGATTTGGGGGTTTAGGGAGTTGGGGGTTTAGGGATTTGGGGATTTTAGGGTTTGGGGATTTCAGGATTTGGGGGTTTAGGGATTTGGGTATTTAGGGATTTGGGGACTTTAGGATTTGGGGATTTAGGGATTTGGGGATTTGGGGATTTAGAGATTTAGGGATTTAGGGAATTGTGAATTTGGGAATTTGTGGATTTAGGGATTTGAGGATTTGGAAATTTGTGAATTAGGGAATTTAGAAATTAGGGGATTTAGGGATTTGGGATATAGGGATTTTGGAATGTAAGAATTTAGGGATTTTGAGGAAATCCATAAATCCCAATATCCACTTCCCCCAAATCCTCAAATCCCTAAATTCTAACATCTCCAAATCCCTAAATCCCCATATCCACATCCCCCAAATCCACAAATCCCTAAATTCCCATATTTCCAAATCTCCACATCCCAACTCTCTAAATCCCCAAATCCTCAAATCCCTAAATTCTAACATCCCCAAATCCCTAAATCCCCATATCCACATCTTCCAAATCCACAAATCCCTAAATTCCCATATTTCCAAATCCCTACATCCCAACTCTCTAAATCCCCAAATCCACTTCCCCCAAATCCTCAAATCCCTAAATTCTAACATCTCCAAATCCCTAAATCCCCATATCCACAAATCCCTAAATTCCCACATTTCCAAATCTCCACATCGCAAATCCCTAGAACCCCCATACCCATTTCCCCCAAATCCTCAAATCCCTAAATTCTAACATCTCCAAATCCCTAAATCCCCACATCCACATCCCCCAAATCCACAAATCCCCAAATTCCCACATCCCAACTCCCTAGAACCCCCATACCCATTTCCCCCAAATTCCTACATTCTCCCACTTCCAAATCTCCACATCCCAAATCCCTAAATCCCCATATCAATATCCCCCACCATATTTATATATCATCCATTTCGCCTATTTGGTTCAGTTACAAAGTATGTGTACCAGTTTCCGCTCAGTCGGTTCGGTATGCATTGCTATACCCGCAACTGCGGTTACCTTCAGATCAGATTTGTGGCAGGTTTATGGGTTAAAATATACGCAAATTCTATGTTTAAACGGTTCATATCCTCGGTTAGGTTCCCGGTTAATTTTAAGTTCCATCTGAAATATCCGATCGAAAATTTATGTTTTATCGGTTGGTCTGATATTCCGATAGAAATATCAATTGGTTACATTTGGAATTTTGAGCTGGTGGAAGGTTTATGTAAAATTTGGAGGAACTTAATAATTTAGGGGAGGAATTAAATTCGTAGAGGTAACTGGAATCGTTGGTATAATTATCCGTAGTATTATTACTGGTATTACTTTGCTACTTTTACTGCTGTTACTAAATGTCTTCTATCGCCGCCATTACGTTTCTAGCGTTATACGTCACTTAACGTTATTTCTACATAATCTAGATAATATTTCTAGATTGTCACTTCTAAATTAATAAATTTATTTGAAGAAAATCTTGTAGAAAATCTATGAAATGTAACACGTTGGAAATGTAATTGCAACACAAATGTTCTAAATGTTATAGAAAAGTGTTCTTACAACGCGAATCCTCGGAATGATTAATGTCTATTACGGAATAAAAGCGAGATATGGTAGAAAATGGCGTAATTAATTTCCATGGCGTTGAAAATGGAAAAAGAACACTTACCTTCACCAGCACGCTGTTAACCCACTCGAATTTTCCACCGGCGTTCAGGCATTTGTCCTTTTCCACGGCGATCGATAGATCGGTCAGTTTTTTCTCGATTTCCTGCAGTTCCAATTCGCAGGGTGTCCCCAACGCTTTCATGGTTGACACCAGTTTCGATAATTCCTGGGTTTTACGGAGGAACAGCTTCGTCTCCGTCGACATGGTTGTTTCTGTCCCTTTCTCGCTGCCTGGCGTCGAATAAAATATACGCGGATCAGGAAATAGAATAACAAAGGGTGAGGGGAACAAATCGATTGTCGCTTGTAAATTTATTCGCTTAGGTAAACAAGAAAATGTGTGGTCGAATGAGCTTTACCGGTATAAATGATTCTGCAAACACTTTGCTTCTGCAAATTTAACTTCTGTGATTTATTTGTTGGGTGTAACTAATTTGAAATATTAAAATGTACACATGTACAATTTTATCTTGTAAAATATACAAGATAAATGTACGTGTTCTATTCTACCTATGATTCGCTGTATCACCTATTTAACTCCTTAACAATTTTTTAGACAGTCAAAGCTGGATAATTATTGTTGCAACGTCCTATGGGATCACTTGATCAGGCTCTCGGCTCATCAGATGTGACCTAACAATCGCCACCTAGCATCGAATTTCACTCCACAAGTTTCCATATATCGCTCAGAATTAGCTGAGCCATGAAACAGTGCGATATTATGTGCATTCATCTATTTTAATATGGATCACATTTTCTGATGATGGACCACATGTCAGGATCACATCTGATTATAGTCCACATGTCAGAATCACATCTGATGATAGTCCACATGTCCTCATATTTCTTGTCTGTCTTAACCTTTTAACCTATTTTACTGTCTACCTATAATTCTCTGTATCATTTACCTATTTAACCCCTTAACAATTTTTTAGACAGTCACAGCTGGATAATTATTGCCACGACGTTAGGGCAACTAAAGAGAATTAAAATGTTAAGCACATTTTCCCTTCGGCGATCCTTGATTGTACAGATTATTAGAATTGAAGCAAAACTGAAATGCAGGGAAAATACGAGTCTGATCACGTACGACTGTAGTGTGCGTCACGAGTGCGTCACGATATTGCAAGGGGTTCTAATATACAACTGTTCTATCTGACACTACTATTTCACTGTACCCTCTATTCCGCTATTCCTCGACAAAAAATTCATCTATTCTGGTTTATCAAAACTTGAGCAACCTTACTGAAAAATTTGACTGGAACTCCTTGTATGATTTGTCGGGTCAGAACTAACTAATAAGAGGAACAGTACATTAGAGGAACAGTATGTTTTCAGTACAAGGGGGCAAAATAATATTGACATTAATAACAATAGCATTGTCGATAATTATAAACAAAATAATGTTGACGTTAAACATTTATCACTGAATTTTAATAAGAAACAAAATAACTCCAAAGTTCATTAAACATCCATTACCAAATACAAAGGCAGACAAAATAGACGTTCATTAAACCCCGAATATTAAATATTAATCAAACAAAATTTCTCTTAAATAACATTTACCAAATTACCTGACCTACATGTACAACACACCGAATGAATCTAGACGAGATAATAGTATCGTAAATAAATCCGTCTGGGATATAAAAGGAATCCAAGGAAAGAATACCCGTGGACAAGTGTCGAACATTCTCCAAAAGACTATGGTAATGGGCCACTTGATCCAAATTCTCTCTCTGTAGTCTCTTTCTCAAGATTCCAATCAACAGTGTCTCGGTACGCTCCAGTAATTCTTCAAAGTGTCGATCGTAATCCGTCTGTAACAGAAAGAGTCGTACTGTGGTTTAGATTTCTCACAATCGGGATTCTCACAAGAGTTTTTGTAATAAATCAGTAACCGTGCAATTTCATTGTTAGTGTATGTGTAGTTATATATATTTTTATTATTAAAAATTGAGATTGTTGGTATTTATTTGTATCCACTTTTCTCAAATCTATGAATTTCCAAATTTTCATATCTTTAAATTTTTATAGTGCCAATTTTCTAGATTTCTATGTCCACTTTTGCCAATTCCACAAATCCTTAAATTCTTATATTTCCAAATTCCCTGAATACCTATATCCACTTTCACCAATTCCACAAATCCCTAAATTTTCACATTCCCAAATTCCTGAAATACCTATATCCACATCTCCCAAATCCACAAATCCCCAACTCCTCATTTCCAAATCCCTATATTGCCAATTCCCTAAATCCCAACATCCACATCCCCCAAATCCACAAATCCCCAAATTTCCACCTCTCCAACTCCTATTTCCCAAATCCCCATATTGCCAGTTCCCTAAATCCCAACATCCACAAATCCCCAAATTTCCACCTCCCCAACTCCTAATTTCCAAATCCCCATATTGCCAATTCCCTAAATCCCGAAATCCACATCCCCCAAATCCACAAATCCCCAAATTTCCACCTCCCCATCTCCTAATTTCCAAATCCCCATATTGCCAATTCCCTAAATCCCAACATCCACTTCCCCCAAATCCACAAATCCCCAAATCACCATGTCCCTAACTGCTGCCACTTCCACGTGCCCACATCCCAGAAATTTTTTGCCACACAGTATATGACAGCACGCAGTAAAGATATCATAAGTTTGTTATGTGTGGAAAGAAACTTCCGGCAAAGATGGAGGCCGAAAAATCCATACCTTTGAGGGTACGGCCGAGACGCATCAATCACTTTTATTCAACCTTCCAAGGATAATCCTTTCGGATCAGGATAAGAAACTACTCCCTTCCTCTTACTTTCCTTAACCTAACGAGGGGTTAACTTCTACCCCAAACTTTCCTTCTACCGCAACAATTCTATTTTCCAAAAACATTTTATTTCGTTGCAAGCAATTTAGTTTGAATGAAAAAGAGAAGCGTTAAAATTACTACGTATTGAAGACTGAATTCATTGAAAAAAATCGATGGAATCTGCAATTGAAAGCGTTTAACAAAAGTTGTATACTATTTGAATATCGATGAAAAACACAAACGCCCTTGTTTGTGTTTTTCATTATGTAGGAAACTGTTTCGGTAATCAGACGAAAGACTCACAAAACAGTGGTCTGTTCTCCTGTCGTCTGAAACGAACAATGTGGTTTCCTGCTACATTCCTCGGTATTTAACTTTTCAACAGAGTTTCCCGGTTCGACGTCTAATTCGTTTGAATAATTAAAGTTTCGTTGAAGTTCGCCTGAAACTGCTGTTGAATCGATAAAAAGATTTTAATCAGTCGCCTGAAGTGCGAAGAGAACTGGAAAGGTATTAACAAAATTATTCATGAGATGTAAATTATAGTCGTATTCGGATTTATAATGCAGTTTGAAGATTTTGTGTGTAGTCTTCGGAAAATATGGCTCTGTTATTACTGTCGTTATTGCTGCTATCGCTGTTATACCGTATGGTGCTGTTTTTATTATTGCTGTTACTATAGGTTACTATTTTTATTGTTAGTACTACTATAGTTTACTATTTCTATGGTTTCTACTACTATATGTCATTATTTCTATTGTTACTATTACCATATGATACTATTTCTATTGGTGCCACTACTATATGTTACTATTCGTATTGTTACTACTACCATATGTTACTATTTTCATTGTTACTACTACCATATGTTACTATTACCATATGTTACTATTCCTATTGTTACTATTACCATATGATACTATTTCTATTGGTACCACTACTATATGTTACTATTCCTATTGTTATTACTACTACCATATGTTACTACTACCATGTGTTACTATTCCTATAGTTACTACTACCATATGTTACTATTACCATATGTTACCACTACCATATGTTACTATTACCATATGTTACACCACTACCATATGTTACTATTCCTATTGTTACTATTACCATATGTTACTATTCCTATAGTTACTACTACCATATGTTACTATTACCATATGTTACCACTACCATATGTTACCACTACCATATGTTACTATTACCATATGTTACACCACTACCATATGTTACTATTCCTATTGTTACTATTACCATATGTTACTATTCCTATAGTTACTACTACCATATGTTAGTATTACCATATGTTACCACTACCATATGTTACTATTACCATATGTTACACCACTACCATATGTTACTATTCCTATTGTTACTATTACCATATGTTACTATTCCTATAGTTACTACTACCATATGTTAACTATTACCACCATTGTTACCAACTACCATATGTTACTATTTCTATTGTGACTAATACTATATGTCAACTACTCCTATTGTTACTACTACTCCTAGCAGGTTCTAGCCTTAGACGCACTGATGTATAGTACGGATGGACAAGAATTATATATATGAATAGCAACGCTTACCGAGTACTAGCGAGAAAGTCCTGCTCGTATGCGCCATCTAGCGGCGATGAGCGTATTAATCGCCACACTTACTATTACTACATACTACTATTTCCATTGTTACTATTATTATATGCTACTATCTCTATTTCTATTATTACCATATGTTACTGTACGTAAATTCATTAAACAAAAAACATCCACCACCTTTCATTACACGGAAAAGTTAAATTACAGTAAAAAGTTAAATTTTATTGTATGAAACTCAATTAACTCCTCGCCCTACAATACCATTGTAACACACATGACGCACACCACAGTTCATATGTGACGTTCCAGTCTCCTGTTTTCATTACAATTGAATTTTCATTTCAATTTTAATGATCTTCACAATCAAGCATCGCTGAATGCAAAATCTAACTTTTCAATATTTTTTATTCGCCCTCACGTTGCTGTAATAATTAACTATTTTTGCATGACGCAACTGTACATTAAATTGTAAATTAAGAGATTAAGAAAAGGTCTATCTAATACAAATAAGAAAATAAAAAAAATAAGATGTAACAAGGTTTGTATCAAATATATATTTAACACGAATAAGAATAGAAACAGATAAAAATAAGATGCAACAAGGTTGCTACGAAAATGTAGGTAAAAATTGCGCCTGACAAAAGCATTCCAACGCGCATTCAACACAGGGACATTGTTAGGGAGAAATCCCGATGGAATTCTATTCAGAAAGAAGTTAGGCAGAGTTTTGTATAGACGAAGGTTCAGCACTTCCGCTTTTTCAACGTCGAGATAGCAAGCTGTTTACTTTGTCTCCTGATGCGTGATTTCTGATTCATAGCTCGATCCCGAGGGATTCGCTATGATTCAAACTTTTTAGATCTGGCGAATTCCTTCGAAAGCAATTTTCCTAAAATCTGTGACGTTTCACCATCGACCATTGCCAAAAACGGTCTCACTGAACGCCGCGGGAATAATAAGCGAGACACGTTTCTGCCTTTAAATCAAAAAGTTCCTCCCCTAATCAATACCAAATAAATCTAACCACCGGTTTCAGTAATGTCGTATTCAATTAAACTTCTACTTAAAAAGCGATTCCACTTTGGGTTTAATTTAAACTTTCCAAGAGGTCTTACTAATTTTTAGTTTAAATTTGAGGAAAGAATATTAATGAAATAAGAAAACTGCAACAGTGTTCTTCAATTTAATAGCGTTTTGAATTTGGCGCCAAAATGACAACCATTTAAACGCAATCCCCACTTCGCAACTTTTATGACCCACAAAAAATTTATACGAAATATTTATTTACTTCTAAGATGATTTTCGTAAACCTCAGCTGTGAACAATTTTATTCCTTCCTTCAAATTTAATAAAAATTAAAAAAAAAAAAATAACATCAGTAATATCTAGCAATGTAATTTAATAATTTTATACCACGATCTTTTTTAGGGACTTTTCGACTACAGAAGCATCTGTTCTTTTTTGAAGCTGGCTAACAAGAATATGGAAGGAAAGATAGTTTTACAAGACGTCGTTTCCCTGATCACAATTCCAATACGATCGAGAAATCAGATTGAACCGGATATTGGTCGACCAGATGAAAGCTAATAGCATGATCCCCAGGAAAGTACGACGGTTGTCGAAGGGTTTCCGTGAAGGAGAAAGGATGATAAGCCAGGACGAAGGTCTGAAAGGTAATTTGGACCAGCGACAGAGGACTAGAATGATGTATCCGAATGACGTAAGAAGTTTTACGGGTTGTCAAAACGCCGCGGACGAGGGCGGATACATTACATCCCGATGTTGTGATATCGTCATGGAGGTAAACAAATTACCCGTGAGTTAACGTTTTCAAAAAACTGGGTCAGTGATATCGCGTTTCTTTAAAATCTGTTTGATCGATCTTTCATCGCATTTAGTGACTTGTGTCAGCACACTGAAATGCGGTTTACATCAAAATTTAGTTGGGGGATAAGTCAGGACGTATATGGCGGCCATATAGCGAGAGGGAGTTTGGAAAATTGGGGATTTGGAAATTAAAAAATCTCAAGGTTATAGATAACCTTATAGGTAATTCTTAAGTACCTCAAGTTCAAAATCACTAGATCCCTAGATTCCCTCACTGTCAACTCTATAAATCCCTAAATTCTCAACTTCCTAAATTTCCAGCTTTCTAAGTTTTCAATTTTCAAAATTATCAATTTCTTTAGACCATAAATCCCTAGATTCCCAAATTCCACACTCCTCAAATCTCTAAATCCCTAGATCACCAAATTCCCACCACCTCAAATCCCTAGATCTCTAAATTTCTCATTCCCAAACTCCAAGCTCCTTAAATTCTCAAAGCCTTAATTTTCAAAATCCCCAAACTCTTTAAACCCCAAAATCTCTAGACCCCCAAATTCCCCACCTCCCAAAATTCTAAAATC